GACGAGGGGACCGGGGCTGGTGCCCTGGAGCAGTAGCAGCAGCAGACGTAGCCTCAGCAGCAGCAGATGCAGCCTCAGCAGCTGACTCAACAGCAGCCCCAGTCATCGCAGCAGCAACAGTCTCCATGGGCATCCCCTCCGCCGTGGTGGACTGGCGGGGCTAGTGGCGGCGGTCGTGGTGGTAGAGGGCACAGCTCGGTGTCGGGTGGCGGCTCCAGTGTGGTCACCTGCCAGTACCAGCTTCAGACCGGCCCCTGCCGTGGCACTGTCTGCTCTCAGCCCGGCCACACCACCGACCGCTGCTACCGCCGCCTGGACGACCTTTTCCGCCACCGCTTCGGTCCCACGTCAGACCCTCCTGACTGGTACGCCCTTGCTCGCCGTCGTGTGCTTGTCTTTTAGCTTGACATGGATAAGATTAGGACTGCTATGTGTGTCATGTATGCTGATGATTCTAGTGTGAGTGGACCGTATTACCTGGTGTTGCTTAGCATAGGTGTGTCCCCTGTGTGTAGTCTAGGCTCCCCTGCTGCGTCAGGCGTAGGACCCTCTGCCTTGTTTAGCCTAGGCTCTACGTTCGCCCCTCCGCCGGCTGACGCTACTACGTCGCTCTTCTTTACACTCAACTCTGGAGTGTCTGCCTGTTTCTTTCGCGACCACACCGCGCTCACGCCGATTGCTGACCCCGCCGCTGTAGCGCTTGCTGACCCCTCCTCAGGTCCAGTAGTAGCCCATAGCTCCACTACCCTCCCTTGTCTGGCGGAACCCTTGTGCTCTCTTACAGGCCTGCATATCCCCTCGTTCTCTAGGAGCCTAGTTGGTGTCGGCCGTCTTCTGGACCTCGGGGTCACCACTACGTTTCCCGGACATGAGCGGTACGCGGTTTGTACCAAGGCCGCAACTGGTGCACCTCTGACCACGTTCCCCCAGGACCCTATGTTCGGCCTGTTTACGCTTGACACTTCGTCCCCCCTGGGGAGGGCGTCCCCCCAGGTGATTGCGGTGACCCACTTCGCCGCAGCTTGCTCGTGTCGGTCGCTCACTCATCCGTCGCTGCTGTGGCACACCCGCCTAGGTCACCCCGCACTCCAGCGTCTACGTTACATTTCCCATCACGGTCTTGTCTTCGGTCTCCCTGAGTCGCTCCCTGCCCTTCCCCCCTCGCCTGCGCCGCCGTGTACACCTTGTGTCGCGGGCCGGCTGCGCCGTGCTCCTCACTCCTCCTCATTTCCCCCTACCACTACGCCACTCCAGGCCCTGCACTTGGACGTTTGGGGCCCAGCCCCCGTCCCTGGGCCGCGTCAAGAGCGCTCATTTCTAGTGCTTGTTGACGACAACACGCGCTACACCACGGTGTTTCTCCTGGACCAGAAAGCCGACGTGCCTGACGTTCTTATCCCGTGGGTTGTAGTTGCGCGCGTCCACCGCGGCCTCCCAGTGCTTCGTCTCCACTCCGACCGTGGCGGCGAGTTTGCCTCCGGTCAGCTTGGTCGTTTCTGTCGTGCGGAGGGCATCACCTAGTCGTACACCCTGCCGAACTCCCCGCAGTAGAATGGGGTCACTGAGCGGCGCATCGGTTTGGTCATGGAGGTCGCTCGTACCTCCATGATCCATGCCAGTGCGCCCCATTTTCTGTGGCCGTTCACTGTTCGCTATGCCACTCACCAGCTTAACATGTGGCCACACTTTTAGCGGCCGCAGGTTTCGTTGACCCTTCTTTGGACTGGGTTTCTTTGTGACGCGTCTGCGTTCCACGTCTGGGGCTGCCTTGCTCACGTTCGTGCCTCTGGCACGGACAAGCTCACTGCTCGCACTGTCCCCTGTGTCTTCCTTAGTTTCCCCCTTGACGCGTCTGACTGGCACTTCTACCACCCGTCTTCTCACCGCTTCTTTCACTCGCGTGAACCTTTGACGAGTCTGTCTTCTACCACCGCTATCCCCACCGAGGTCTCCCGGTCTCCCCGCCCCTGTATTTGGTTCCCACTCCCCTGGTAACCAGTGCTCTTCTCCCTCTCCGTCCTGCCCCGTCTGGTGTATCGCACGTCACTCCCCTCCCGTCACTTGTCCGGGAGTCCCGCGGCTTCAGTTTCGCTGCCCGTCTCCGCCCCGATGTCCCCTCCTCTGCCGCCGCCAATACAGCAGCAGCCCTTGCAGCCGCAACCGCAGCCACAGCAGCCACCAGGGTTCGCGAGTTCTGGGGGTGGGGGCGTTCAGGAGGGTGCTAAACCTGGGGTTACTGTCGTGGCTTGTCCCAGGAGTCTCGGGGGTGGCACCGGTGCTGGAGAGGTTTCACGTTCTATGGGTGTTGGCGTGGAGGTTCCTGGAGGTAGCCGTGGTGCAGCTCGAGGTTCTGATGTAGGCGTGGAGCAGCAGCAGCAGCAGCAGCCGCAATCGCTGCCGGTGTCCGCCCTTAGCCTCCTCTGCCTTCCCTCCCCTGACCACCCGCCTACGTCTCCCCCGCCGCCGCCTCCCCTGCCTGTTCACGGCCCTGTCTTTCCTCCGCCAGACTCGTCTCCAGCTCGCCTCCCACCTCGTTCTCCTCCTGTTTCTCCTCCCCTGTCTCCTGACTCGACGCCTCCGTCTCACGTCTGGTCTCGCCGTCCCTCCCGTGCTTGTCTTGTCTCCCCTGTTCCTTGCTCCCACCCTATGTTGCTTCATTCCCACGCGTCTCGTCCTCCCCTCTCCCGTCGCTGCCTCCGTCCTTGCTTGATGTTGCTCTACCTCCTTTGTCTGACTACCTTTGTGCTGCTAGTCCTCTTCTTCCTTGGGTCCTTGCCTCCCTCGTGACCGACTGGTCTGTTCCTTACTCGAGTCTTAACGTGCTTGTCGCCGCCGTCTACCCGCCACCTTGACTACGCCACTGCTTTGGTCTCTGAACCTGCCCGTCCTCCATCTGTCGGAGGTGCTCCTGCCCTTGGCAATGACGTTCTGGAGGACAGGCAGTACGAACTTGCTTTCCTGTTCGAAGCCGTGCCTCATCTCTACTCCATGCTGCTAGTTCCTGAGGGTGACCCACACACCTTTGACATCCCGACCCCTCGCACCTATGCTGAGGCGACCTCGGGACTTTGGGTCTCTCAGTGGATAGCTGTCATGGACGCAGAGATGGCATCTTGGAGATCCACTGGCACCTACGTTGACGCAGTTCCCCCACCTGGGGTGAACGTAGTCGATGGCCGGTGGCTCTTCAAGGTGAAGCGCCCTCCTGGAGAGCCGCCGGTGTTCAAGGTGCGCTACGTAGCTAGAGGTTTCAATCTGTGCGAGGGTGTTGACTTCTTTCAGACCTTTGCCTCGACTCCAAGATGACTACTCTTTGGGCACTGCTACACGTAGCAGCACAGCGTGACTACGAGCTGCACTCCCTAAACTTCTCGACAACGTTTCTTCAGGGCAGTCAGCATGAGCAGGTCTGCCTGCGTCGCCCGCCAGGCTTCACCGGCACCTTCGCCCCGGGTACCCAGTGGCTCCTCCTGCGCCTGGTTTATGGCGTGTGGCAGGCGCCACGTGAATGGCACGACACGATGCGTGCTACGTTAGTTGACCTGCAGTTCTTCCCGTCGTCTGCAGACCCCTCGCTCTTCGTTCGTGCTGGCCAGACCCCGTTCTCCATCCTTGTCTACGTAGACGACCTGGTCTTTGCTACAGCACACAGAGACGCACTAGCCTCCGTGAAGGCTGAGCTGTTGAGGAGACACACCTGCACAGACCTGAGAGAGCTGCGCCGCTACCTTGGCCTGCAGATCTCCAAGGACAGAGCAGCGCGCACCATCACTCTCACACAGTCACACTTGGTGCGCCAGGTCCTTCAGAGGTTCGGCCTTCAGTTCTCCTTTGCACAGCCCACACCTCTGCCAATAGATTACAGACTCTCGGCTCCAGTCCCTGAGGAGTCTGTAGAGCCTAGTGGTCCGTACGCGGAGCTGGTGGGTTGCCTGATGTACGTGAGAACTTGCACTCGTCCAGATCTCACATACTCTCTTTGCATTCTGGCTCGCTTTGTGGCCACAGGCAGACACCGACCACAGCATTGGCCAAAAGCTAAGAGGGTTTTGCATTATATAGCAAGTACATCGGGCATAGGGCTAGTGCTACGAGGACACAACCTAGTGGTCCTGACAGGGCACATAGACGCTTCGTGGGCAGACGACGCTGAGACACTCAGGTCCTCCCAGGGCTACTGCTTTAGCCTTGGTGCAGGCGTCGTCTCGTGGCCGTCCACTCGTTCGTCGTTTGTTGCCCAGTCTGGCTGTGAGGTTGAGATCTACGCCGGTGTCATGCCGGCACAGGAGCTTCGCTGGCTGACCTTATTGCTTACAGACTTAGGTGAGTGGCCTAGCTCTGCCCCGGTCCTGTACGCTGACAACAGGGCCATGATCCTCCAGTGTCAGGAGCCTCAATTGGAGGGCAGAGCGAAGCACATCCAGCTGCGGTACTTCCTCCTGCACGAGCTGCAGCAGCGCCGCCAGGCCCGCGTAGTACACTTGGCCTCAGGTGCCAACACAGCTGGTATCTTTACGAAGACGCTTGCGCATAAAGATCATCAGCGGCACTGTGTACATCTTGGTCTTGTTCGTGTAGCTTCTCACTTGCTAGGACCTTGATTGTGAACTACTTTGATATTAACTTGACTGGCCTTCTGGCCCTTGTCCTAGTGGCTGGACTAGTAGTACCGCCCTGGATTGCTCTTGTTTAGTTTGTACTCTTGCTGACTGGCCTTCGGACCCCTGCCTCAGAGGTTGGACTAGTAGTGCCACCCTGAGCTGTGTCTCTCTTGCCAGGCAGTGCCCCTCATCTAGTCTAGGGGGTGTGTCAAACATATTTTGTATATGTCTTATAGGCTAGATAGGTGCGTACTCTTAGAGGGTACAACCCCTTAGACAAAGCCAACCTGTTGGCATGATACTAGTAATTTCATTCTCTTCTGATACCGGGGTGTTATGTCATGGGGGTATATTGTATGGCGTGTATTGAATGTCAGAGCCGTTTCGCAAACATTAATTTTTCCTGTGGAATAAATAGGACACGTTACAAATGGCTCCATGAATTAGCAATATCAGTAAGCCGAACAGGGGATTCAGGATCGCATTGATTTGGAGTGTATATGGCAAGGGGACGCACGGAATAGAGGGCTGCAGTTCTTGAAAACCCGGAGGTGGGAATAATGAACGCATGGCATGCGGATAACAACAGCCAATCAGCAACAATTTCTCTGAAGGCTGCTGCATCATCTGTAGCACCGGTGGGTGCTGCTGTAGCAGCAGCAGCATCACCTGGGGCATGGGCTTCATCAGGTGCTTCAGGTTTATCTGAATTTTCACCTGAAGTTTGGTGGTCTGGGTCTGGAGGGGTAGGAACACTTGAACGTTCCCCAGCCAGAGTAAATGGCTCGGACGCAGTGGAAGGGTCGGATGTGGAGGGAAGGCCAGTAATGTTCCAAAACTGGGCGGCTGGTTCGGACACGTTGGGGAGGCTGCGCTGACTCAGCACTGTGCTGCCGAGCCTGTTGGAATGGTGCGGGGTGAATGCGGTGGCTACCACCTGGGGGGAGGAGACAGTACGGGGCATGAGGACAGGGGGGGTGGTGTGAGGGCGAAGGGGTTAGGTGGGTGAAACATGTACGAAATTTTACAGAAACACATCATGCTGGGCCTACACATATTACTTCTCGCCCGTACCCTGCAAGTGGAGGCTAAGAGCATTCTTGAGGTGCTTGCCAAGTCCGTGCGTGCGCGCGCATGCATGTCCATGTGCATGTGCATACATCTCTGTGTGCAAACACATGGGAAATATGCGTGTGGCTGTGTATTCCTAACCCACCTGGCCTTGCATCTCCTCCTTCAGAGCCGCCTTGAGTTGACCCGCGTTCGTTATAAGCACCCAGTGCACTCTCAAGGGGGGTCGGGAAATCATACATACAAGAAAGGAGAAAGAGAGAAACGGGGGGGGGTGTGCATGCCTCTCTCACCTTCTCTGGCATCTCCTGCTTGAGAGCCGTCTTGAGCTGACCCGAGTTCGTTATAAGCACCCAGTGCACTCTCAGGGGGGGTGGAAACCACCATGCCTCCACTGACTGAGGGAGGGGGAGAAGTGGGGCACAAGGGGGGGACGAGGGGGGGATGAGGGGGGGAGGAGGGGGGGATGAGGGGGAAACCAACCACCACGGCTTCACAGGCTGGAAACTAGGGAGGAGACAATGGAGAAAGATATAGGAGATAAAAATGGCGGAAAGCACTAGGTTCCTCAGAATTAGCGGAAATAATCACTCCTGTAGAAACCTACACCATTGTAGCCTGGAGGCAGTTACAGTTCAAGTCGCACAAGTTGTTGAATTCACCTGAAGCTCACCTGAGCGCACTGTAGCAACGGCTGAGCTTCCTCCTGGAGGCGACTGACTTGTGTGGCGTTCAGCACTCTGGGGGCATCGTCCCCCTCGTCTCCTGGCAAGGGGCATGCGAGAATAGAGATGCAGAGATGGGCAGTGAACTACGGCCATAGATCCATGCATTCTCAACACTCGGGGGGGATCGCCCCCCTAGTCCCCTGACAGAAAGAAGAAAGGAGAGGGAAAGGGGTGGGCTAGAGATGGCTGGGCAGTCAACAAAGACATGGTATCCACAGGTTCAGCACTCTGAGGGTGTCATCCCCCTCATCCCCCTCATCCCCCTCATCCCCCTCATCCCCCTCATCCCCCTCATCCCCCTCATCCCCCTCATCCCCCTCATCCCCCTCATCCCTCTCATCCCCCTCATCCCCCTCATCCCCCTCATCCCCCTCATCCCCCTCATCCCCTCATCCCCCTCATCCCCCTCATCCCCCTCATCCCCCTCATCCCCCTCATCCCCCTCATCCCCCTCATCCCCCTCATCCCCCTCATCCCCCTCATCCCCCTCATCCCCCTCATCCCCCTCATCCCCCTCATCCCCCTCGTCCAAATCGTCCCAATTTCTGAGGCGCCTTGAAAAATCGTCCCCATTTTTTTAGGCGCCTTACAAACAAGAGGTGGGCAGTGAACCAAGACGCCACAGCCTACATCCACATGTTCAGCAGCACTGTGACCATCTGGATGGCGTGACCAACCTTGTCCCCCGGCGTCAAAGGAGCGGACGAGAAGGACGAGGAGCAGAAACAACAAAAACGCTATGGACAAGCTTTGAGACGTCTCAAAGACGCTATGGGCAAGCTTTGAGACGTCTAAACTACTTACTTACACAAAGACGAGGAGCAGAAACAACAAAAACGCTATGCGCAATGAGGAAAGGGCGTGGATGGATGAGATCCAGTTAGAGAGTGGGTGTGACAGTTAGAAAAGGAGTACATGCATACATACTACCATCTTACCACACCACACCACACCATACCACACCATACCATGCCAGATGATGTTGTCCGGTACGCGAATGTGCAGTGCACGGCAATCCCAACAGCAGCCAGGGCTCTTAGCAGCGTCAATGCTGACATGCACACTATGCCGCAGCCGCACCACACCATGCCATGCTGCGCCACTCCATACCATGCCGCACCATACCACCACCACACCATGCCAAACGATGTTGTCCGGTACGCGAATGTGCAGTGCACAGCAATCCCAACAGCAGCCAGGGCTCTTAGCAGCGTCAATGCTGACATGCACACTATGCCGCACCACACCATGCCATGCTGCGCCACTCCATACCATGCCGCACCATACCACCACCACACCATGCCAAACGATGTTGTCCGGTACGCGAATGTGCAGTGCACAGCAATCCCAACAGCAGCCAGGGCTCTTAGCAGCGCCAATGCTGACATGCACACTATGCCGCACCACACCATACCATGCCGCACCACTCCATACCATGCCGCACCACACCATACCATGCCGCACCACACCATCCAATGCCGCACCACACCATACCATGCCGCACCACACCATACCATGCTGCACCATACCATGCCAAACGATGTCGTCCGGTATGCGAATGTGCACGGCAATCCCAACAGCAGCCGGGGCTCTGAGAAGCGCCAGGGGCTCCCCTAAGAGACCAAGGACGGATGGGAGGGGCCTGCAGGGAGGAAGGAGGTCAGTGCAGGTGGGGGAGGTCTAGTTTTGAGGCGCCTCAAAACTGGGGGAGGTGGGAAAGGGCTCTGAGCAGCGCCAGAGCAGCAAATGCTGCCTTTAAATCAAATGCTGCCTTTTCATCAAATGTGCTCTGATATGCCAACAGCCCCTGGGGCTCTGAGCAGCGCCAGGGACTCCCCTAAAAGGCCGAGGACGGATGGGAGCGGCCTGCAGGGAGGAAGGAGGTCAGTGCGGGTGGGAAAAGTGGGGGGGTGGGGGAGGTGAGGGAGGCGGGGGAGTTGGGGGAGGTGGGGGGAAAGGGCTCTGAGCAGCGCCAGGGGCTCTCCTAAGAGACCGAGGACGGATGGGAGCGGCCTGCAGGGGGGAAGGGGGTCAGTCATGCACAGGCGGAGGAGGGGGAAGTGGGGGAAGAGGGGGGAAGGGGCTCTGAGCAACAAGGGCTCATTCAAGAGAGGAAGGAGGTCAGCGCGGGTGGGAAAAGTGGGGGGGTTGGGGAGGTGAGGGAGGCGGGGGAAGTGGAGGAAGTGGAGGGAAGGGGCTCTGAGCAGCGCCAGGGGCTCTCCTAAGAGACCGAGGACGGATGGGAGCGGCCTGCAGGGAGGAAGGGGGCAGAGGGGAGCAGCAAATGCTGTCTCATAGTCAACTGTGCACCGCAATAGCAGAGTAACGCCAATGGCGCCTCTAAGAGACCGAGGACGGATGGGAGGAGCCTGCGGGGAAGAAGGAGGTCAGTGGGGGTGGGGAAAGTGGGGGGGTGGGGGAGGTGGGGGAGGTGGGGGAGGTGGGGGGAGGGTGGAGCAGTTGACAAACGGGGGGCATTGGGGGGCCGGGAGGCGAAGGGGGTAGGAGCGTTGTGAGAGATTCTAGAGAGAAATGTGTGCTACGCCATGCGGCACTTACTTAAGCAGCAGTCTCAATATACACCCCAGGGCATACGGCATGCGGAGCCCAAACCCCCGGAACCGCTCCCCCCACTCCGCCTGCTCCTCTAGAAGCAACTCCCCCAGCTCCCCCCGGTTCCACGAAACCCTAATATTTCTCGCCTCCATAAACGGCTCGAAAAAATCCCGCACTCCATAGAACCAGAGCCCGCGCATGTCAATAACGGGGATTTCGTCCGCTGCGCGAAGCCCCTCCCACGCCGCTGCCCGGAACGCCGGGAAGTCGATCTCGATTTTCCGGGCAGGTTCGAGGGGGATGTCGTCGGACGGCGTCCAGTCGATTAAGTTGGGTTGGAACGCAAGCGGGAGGCACGGGTGGCGGATGATGAAGGCGCGGTTGGAGATTAAAGCCACGGCGAACGCGGACGCGAGGCCGAGGAGGGAGTCGCCTAGACCGCCGCAGCCGTAGAACCACTCGTAGGTGAGGAAGCGGAGAGGGAGGTGGGGGGATGGGAAAGGTGGGGAGGAGGGAGAGGAGGGGGAGGAGGGGGAGGACGAAGGTGAAGGCATGCTGACGTCACTATCTGTAACAGTGTCGGTGTCGCTGTTAGCGTTAGTTTTGCCATTTCCGTTGCTGCTGCTGCCGACGGCTCCATCGCTGGCTGCTTGTCTGTTCGCCGCTCGAATCCGCTGGTGTAGATCGATGTACTCGTTATGCCATGACCCGCAAAGCGCTTCCGGATAGCCGAAGTTCAGCAGAGCCGACAGCTCGGCTTCCCTGCTGCTAGCAGTGACCGACTTGGAGGCGGTACTGTGCAGTGTACTGAGGAGCCCAATAACGAAGCCGACGGAGGTTGTGCGACTGAGGAAACACCATTTACTATTACATGATGCAGGATCCGCTCGCGAAATCCTCCAGGAACGAGAAACGCTCGCCATCTTCGCCTTTTTCGTCAACCATGTCAACGCATCCTAAGCTGCCGGCACGCGAGATCCCGGCTGTGCTACATTACGGCGTTGAAGAGACTCGAGTACGTGACCTGAAGACATCTCTAGTGCAGCAAAAGAGGCCCTGAACTTGAATGGACAGACGCATAGCGAATGTCGTCCTGTTCTGCCCAATAGAACGCACGGTACAGATTTAAATGTGTCCTCGATAGTAGGGAGAGCTTGCAAGAAAGCCGTGACGCCGAGTCTTGTGCTTTTGGTACACTCTATTCGTCATCCCACTCCTTTTCAAAAGGAATTACAAATTAAAATCTGGACAAACTTACAAAACACTACCATAAAGTTAGTACCGCCCAGCAGCTTTCACGGCCAGGGTTCCCTCTGTGTGGGAAAAGGTCAGCAAGGAAAATCTCACCTGCAGTGCCAAGTATAGAGCATGGATGATGCTGACAAAATAAATGAACTGTACAATGGATAGTTTATGAGAATCATACGTACATAGTACCATGTGTACGTCCTACGCAATGTACAATTTTGCTTGTGTGGGCTAACTCTGCCAATCACTACATAGTTCATATGAAAAGTGATTGTAGGAGGTCCATAGCCTGCAAGGAACAACGGTTGGGAGAGACGATAACACACATTAAAACCCGCGTACCACATGTCCCAAAGTTGTCTCGAGCTTCCTACCTTTGGTTGGGAGTTCCCTAGGCGAGCTACTAGACAGCCGATCCCGTTCTTCTACCCAACCAATCTTCCTACCGTTGAAATACTTGGCACGCGGGTTTTAACATACACGTCATGTCAGCATACCCCTGGGTGCATGTGAGCCCGTGTTTGCATGTGGTGGCATCCGCCCCTTACCCTCACCCCCGCTCCTCCCCTCCTCGTCACCATATACCCATCCACTCTCACCGTCCACTGCATGCCCTTGGATCCACACCTCACCACCTACCAAAAAGCACACGTGACTCAAGTCCGAATGAACAATGCGCAATCACTCACTATGTGTAAGTGCCCTGCTCTCACCTGCCCTGATTCACCTGCACCTGCTCTCACCTGCACCTGCTCTCAACTGCCCCGCTCTCACCTGCACCTGCTCTCACCTACACCTGCTCTCACCTGCCCCTGCTCTCAACTGCCCTGCTCTCACCTGCACCTGCTCTCACCTGCCCCTGCTCTCAACTGCCCTGCTCTCACCTGCACCTGCTCTCAACTGCCCTGCTCTCACCTGCCCCTGCTCTCACCTGCCCCTGCTCTCAACTGCCCTGCTCTCACCTGCCCCTGCTCTTACCTGCCCCTGCTCTTACCTGCCCCTGCTCTCACCTGCCCCTGCTCTTACCTGCCCCTGCTCTTACCTGCCCCTGCTCTCACCTGCCCCTGCTCTTACCTGCCCCTGCTCTCACCTGCCCCTGCTCTCACCTGCCCCTGCTCCTGTTCTCACCTGCTCTTGCTCTCACCTGCCCCTGCACGTCCTTTGGTCCGAACCGCACAACCTCTCGCAGCGCACACACAGCCCCATGGCTCCTCATGCTCCTCCGGTGCTCCGCCCCGCACCCTGCCATCGCCAGCAGTGCCTTCAGCGCCTCCCTCACTGCCTCCTCACTCCTCCCCCCCTCCTTTCTCACACCACTAGACCGGCTCGATCCAGGAGACAGCGTGAGATCAGCAGCAGGCCCCGAGGATGAGGCATGCAATGGATATGCTGTGAGCACGTCCAGAAACGCAGGGATGGCCTCTCCCAAGCTCTCCCTGGCCTGCGTTGCCTCCTTTGCCTGGCTCAAAAGGTTCTCCTGAGACAAACCTGCTAGTCTGGCCAGTGTGGCGCAGACAGCGTGGGCAGCTGTCCAGTCCATTGTGGGAACGGTGTGGATGGCTGAGTGGAGGGTGTGGGCGAGGATGGGGATGGAGCCATGTGAGACGAGGTAGGAGCAGCAGGCATCAGAGAGGGAGAGGCCTGCCACTGCCTCCGCTGCTGCTTGCCTTGCCATACTTTCCACCGCCCCTACTCCACTAGTCCCTCTGCTCCCTCTGCTCTCCCCTCCGGTCTCTCCCCGTGTCTTCTCCTCCCCCGCACGACCTGTCTTCTCCCCCGCCCCTCGCTCCCTTTCCCCCTTCCCCAGTTGCCTGAGAAGGTACTTGAGCGCCCCGGCTTGCACGAGCAGCGAGCAGGCATGTGGGGAGAGGGAGGCCACGTTGCTGACGATGCTGCTGGCTCGGGCCTGCGCTGCCGGGGAGAAGGAGGAGCGCCTGAGGACCTGTGCGAGGGGTGCACGGGGGGAGGAGGAGAGAATGAAAGGTGGGGGAGGGAAGGGACGCACACAGGGAGGCGGTGTTGATGACGTCGCTGCTGGCTCGGGCTTGCGCTTCTGGGAGGAAGGTGGACCGCCTGAGGACATGCAGGGCCCCGACGGGAAGTGATGAGGACATGCAGGGCCCCGACGGGAAGTGATGAGGACATGCAGGGCCCCGACGGGAAGTGAAGAGAATTGCAAACAAGCGAATGGGCGGTGGTTGGAAAAGGAAATTGAGTGTGCGCCTAGAACACGCTCGCCTGGGAACACGCTCGCCTGGGAACACGCTCACCTGGGAACACGCTCGCCTGGGAACACACTCGCCTGGGAACACGCTCCCCTGGGAACACGCTCACCTGCTGCAGCAGCTTTTGAGTCGACTCAGAAGCTCCTCGAGCTCTGAGGGAGGGTGGGTTGGGAACATGCACACCTGAACAAGACGTCTAGTTTTGAGGCGCCTCAAAACTGGGTTGGGAACATGCACACCTGAACAAGAAGCGCAAGGTGCTGCAGCAGCCGTTCCTTGCACTCGGCATCCGACGAGAGACTCAGTAGCGCACCCAGGGCTGCATTCGCTGCATTTGTGCTGCCGCATTCACCATCCAAGCCCCCACCAGCAGCACCAGAACCGCCACCACCAGCTGCCAATGGCAACAACGCCTCTACAGCACCCGCCTCTCTAAAGGCCGCTCTGTTAGCAGCAGAGGCGGCACAGAACCACCCGATCACCCCTGCCGCCTTCCCCTGCTCCGCTCTCGTCCCGCACAGCAGCCTCTGCACCACCTGCGCTGGCGCCCTGGGGTCAATGGAAACCACATCTGGTGCAGGTACATCTGGGGAAGGCGCATCCAGGGAGGAACCACTCGGTACAGGCGCATCTAGGGAAGGTATTTCTGTGTGCTGGGACCCAATCCTGTGCTGTGTTTCTGCGACCAGACTGGCAGTCAGACTCCCCAAATGCCTTGGGCTGGGGTGTTCTCTCTTGCTAGTATGCTCCGTTGGGCCCGGCTGCTCACGTTTGCTAGAACTCTCCCTAGGGCTCGGCAGCTCTTTCCTGCTAGTACGCTCCTTGGGGCTGCATTTCACTTTATGGCTCGTCTGCTCCCGAGGGCTTTTGTGGCCCCTAGGGCTTATGTGATCTCTAGGGCTAATGAGGTCTCTGGGGCTTCTGTGGTCCCTAGGGCTTATATGTTCTCTACAAGAATCCGGATCCCTTGAGATAGTCGGACCTAGAGGGCTACTCCCGTCTCTTGGGGTGGTCCTGCGCCTGTGAATGGTGTGATCCCTGGGGCTGCTCTCCTTCCTGTCAATACCTGGGATCCTTTGACTGCCATCATCTCTGCTGCTCGTCTGGTGAGCCGACTCAAAAGTCGTATCGATTCGTAGGGTTCGTTGATCCCTGGGGCTGTTGCTGGTCTTCCTGTCGATATCTGGGATTCGTTGGGTGCTCCCACCCCGGCTGCTCGTCTGCTGCGTGGGGTCTAGCCAGTCCGTTGAGACATGAGGGTGAGAGAGGGAGTGGGAGTGAAAGTGAGGGTGAGGGTGAGGGTGAGACTGAGTGTGAGAGTGGGAGCGCGAGTGGGAGCGAGGGAAAGGATGAGAGCGAGGGTGAGGCAGCTCTGACAGAGAAGGGCCGATGACTGGGAACCCATCAAACGAGGTCTCATTCCCATTCTCACCACCTTCAGCCAACGCTATTTCCTCTCTCAGCCTCTCTTCCAGACCCCCTCTCTTCTCCTGCTGCCTCTGCTTTTCGCGTTGCTGGCTTTTCTTCACTCCTGCTTGCCAGCCCCTGCTCCCCTCCCGCCATGCCATCTCTCCCTCTGCCTCCCGCCCCTGCCCCTGCAGATACACCTGCTCCAGATGCGCGCTGATCAGCTCCAGCTGCTCACTCAAATCCTCCCCCTCATACCCACCGCTGCTGCCAAAGGTGCTGCCAATGCTGCTGCCGATCCGAGCATCAATGCCGCTGCCAACGCTGCCAGAGCTGGCGCTAAAAGTGCCCTCGACACTTGAGCCAATGCTCCCACCGGTTCCTCTACCATCCTTACCGCCCTTTCCACCACCACCAAGCCTATGCGCCGCAACAGGGGAGCGAGGTGACCTCCCTCCCCTCCTTTCCCTCCCTGCTACACCATGCCGCCTGCCATCCTCCCACCCTCCTATGCCATTCACCCTGCTACTCTCCCTCCCCCCTACCCCATGAAACCCACTGCTCTCACTCCCAGCCTCCCACCCAGAGCCCTCCACAGCCTCTCGTGCATGCTTCATCAGCCGCTTCATTCTCGCCTCTCTGATGCCATCAACCCCCCCTAAGTCTTCACTCATTCCCACGTCTCTCATCTCTCCTCCTAAGTCTCTATTCTCCTCAGGAGACTCGTCTGAGCCAGTTAAAGCCCACCGCTGGAAGCTCGGGTTGCCGCCCTTCTCCTGCTCCACCGCCCCTCGAACCCGCCTCATGGGTGGCAGAAACTTGGCAGCATCTGGTGGGGGACGTGGGGACGTTTCCTCTGTTCTCTGTCTTCCTCTCTCCTCTGTGCTTCTTTGCCCTGCTCCCGTGCTGTTTCTCCTCCCTTTCTCCTCCTCCTCGCCAAACGGCTTATTCTTGCTGCGCCTACTGCCACCACCTGCACAAGTACCGGTACCACCAGCACCAGTAGCACCTTCCCCAGCACCACCTGCGCCAGCAGCCCCCTCCCTCCAGCAGTCCCTGCCCTGATAACTCATCTGTGCCAGCTCAGCTGGGGACAAACCGCTGCCGCCCAGCTTTGAGATGTCCCTAGGGGACAGGAGGACGGCGGCTTGAGAGGAGGGAGATAGGAGAGAAGGGGCAGAGGTTGCGAGGGAGGATACTGCTGTGGAGGGAGAGAGAAGGGCGTCCATAGAAAGAGGTAGATGGGAGGCAGGGAAGGGGTAGAGCGATTGGGAAGCGGTGTGGAGTTGCTGGTGCTGGTTCTGGTGCTGATGCTTGTGCTGTTGCTGCTGCTGCAGATCATGCCTGTCCTTAGTTCGTCGGCGGGAAACAGTATGATAGCCAGGTACAGGAACGGATGGGGAGGTGGCTGTTAAAGGGTCTGCCAACAACGGGGATGGACTAGACTGGAAGGACAAGGGATTGAGCAGAGAAACGGAGCTACTAGCAGCAGCAGCATCACCAGCAGTGGCATCAACCATGAAGCCATTGTGAAGATCAGGAAACATAAGATCATATGATGCCGCCAGAGCTGACGCAGGGGAAGCGGCGGAAACAGCAGCCACAGCAGCAGCAGCAGTAGAGTGAAAGATGGAGGAGTGAGGGCTTGCCATTGCTGCAGGGCTGATGATCCCCCCAGGACTGGACATCCTCCCACGACCGGACACCTCAAACCCCATGGAACTATTTATCCCCACAGGGCTGAAGAGACTGGCGTTGACGAGAGCAGTGGGGTCCCAGGGCGAAGGGGGCACACTACCGCCCAGCCCCCCACCCCGCCCCCCACCCCCAGAACTGGCAACACCCGCAGGGCTGAAGAGAGATGCATGGACCATGGCAGTGGGGTCCCAGGGGGAAGGGGGCACACTCACACCCCGCCCCCCACCCTCCGCCCCAACCCCAGAACTGGTAACTCCCACAGGGCTGAAGAGAGAGGCATGGACCATGGCAGTGGGGTCCCAGGGCGAAGGGGGCACGGTCCAGGGGGATATGGGCGGGCTTGGCAGACAGGCAGGAGCGAGGGGGTCAAGGGCGTCGAGAGACGGCAAGTGGTCGAACGAGGTGCTGATGTGCAGCGCTGGAGGCGGGACAAAGCGCTGGGGTGGACGGGGCTCAGCAGGATGGGCAGTGAGAGAGGCAGTGTGAGGGGCGGTGAGAGGGGCAGTGAGAGGGGCGGTGACATCTCTGGGCGACTTATTTTCTCTATGCATTTTGAGATCTCTAGGCGATCTGAGTTGATCTCTTGGTGCAATCTTGTTTCTTGGTGACTTGTGCTCTCTCGGCGACACATGCTTGGGCGACACCAGCTCCCTGCCATCTCTCCTCCGCCCCTTCACAGCAGCAAGATACTCCGGGGTGATAAACGCCCTTGCTGCTGCTCCACCTGCTGCTCCTCCTGCTCCTGCTGCTCCCTCCTTCCCTCCTCCTGCCCCTGCCCTGCCACCCTGTTCTCTTGGAAACCTGCTGTCGCCTCTTCCACCCCTCTTTACGCTTCCATCTCCACCTGGCCCTCGTTCACCTGCGTCTCCTGCTGCCCCTGCTTGCGCCCCGGCTGATTCCACATCTCCCCCCCTCAGTTGCCCCACCTGCTGCTGCATGGCGCGCAGCAGAATGGACAGCTGCAGGGGAGGAGGAGGAAGAGAGGGGGGAATGTGGGTGGGGGGGGAGGCAAAGGGAACAGATGCTAACTTTCAGAACACAGTGAGGCATCTTGTCTTTCAATCGGCCCACCTGCTGCTGCTGCTGCATGGCCGTAGCGGAATGGATAGCTGCACGAAAGAAGGGGGCACGGAGGGGGGGGGGGAGAGAGGGGGGAGAGGGGGATAGCATCCCCAAGCAACCCGCTGATTCCAGCCTCACCACCAAGCAACCCGCTGATTCCAGCCTCACCCCTTAACTACGCCTCACCTGCTCCACCATGCATGCCCGCTGCTCATCCCCTGCCTCCTCCGCCCTGCATCTTTCCAGAGCCTAAGAATGCAGCCCCAGCCACGACTCACCTGTCGCTCCAACTCACGCTCACCCACTTAACCATCTCTCACCTGCTCCACCATGCATGCCCGCTGCTCATCCCCTGCCTCCTCCGCCCTGCGTGTTTCTAACGCCAGAGCCTCCCTCTCCTCCTCAAATGACGTGACTGAGTCTAACCCAAGCAGGATTGCCAGCCTCCCTGCTGCACACTCTGCTGCCCCTTCCTTCTCCTGTTGCCCCTTTCCTTCTGTCTTCTCCGCACCTCCCTCCTCTCGCTTCTCAATTCTCCCATCTTCCTTCTCCCCTCCTACCTTTCCTTCCGTGTCTCCTCCTTCCCCCTTTCCTCCCTGTTCTCTGTTCCCAGTAGTACCAAGAACATTCCCCTCCACCCAGTACTTATCCTCTACAAACCCCAGAACCGCAGCTAACGCAACATCCCCTATGCTTCCGCCCTCCTCATCTGCTTCTTCCCTCGGAGAAATTGCATGCTGGGACCCAGTAGTCTGAGCTCCATCATCCTCTTCCCCCTCTTCCTTCTCGGCCTCCTTTGAATCTTCGTCCTTTGAATCCATCGTTGACTTGTCATCCTCTTCCTCCCCTTTTTCCTTCTCACATTCCCTCACCTCATCCGCCTTGACCTCTAACTCACCGTTCCCCCCCTCCTCCACCATACCCCTCTCATTGCCCCTCCTCTCCTTCGTCTCTGTCCCTCCCACGTCTTCTTTCTCCCCCTCCCCAATTTCCTGGCAATTCTCCGTTGCATCCCCCTTCTCCCCATCCTCTCCCCCCTGCTCTCCCTCTTCCTCTCCCCGTTTCTCTTCTTCCACCTCCACCTCTATCTCTCCCTCTCCCTCTCCCTCTCCCTCTCCCTCTCCCTCTCCCACTCCCGCTCCTTCTCCCCCCTCCTCACCCTCTCTCATTTCCTCGTCCTTCTCCCGCCCTTCGACCTTCCGCCCTCTCTTCCCTTCCTCCCCTTCTTCCTCCTCCTCCTCCTCTCCCCCCTCCTCCCCCCCCTCCGCCACCTCCTCCTCCGCCTCTTCCACTGTGTCCATACTCTGCACTATCTGTCGCCTGCTGCTGCTAGTGCTGCAGCTTCTAAACATAACACTGCTGCTGCTGCCGCCGCCGCCGCCGCCGCCGCCGCTGCTGCTGCTGCTGCTGCTGCTACTGGCAATAGTACTACTACCACTGCTACAGCCACCACTGTCACTGCTTCCTCTACCGCCGTGGCCCTTGCTCCGGCTGCTCTTTCTGTCACCGTTACTACTCCGGCTGCTGCTGCTGGTGTTACTGCAGTTTTCACTGCTGCTGATGATACTGCTGATGCTGCTGGTGGTGCTGCTCTTGCTGCCGCTGTTGCTGCTGCTGCTACTTCTGCTGCCGCTGCTGCTACTTCTGCTGCCGCTGCTGCTGCTGCGATCAGGGCAGGCAGGGGAGTCTTCACGGGATGCAGCAGAGGCATCGCTGTGCACGAGGATCTCAAACTGCCGGTTGACCTGCGGCGACAGCAGCTCTGTGAAGCACGCTGTCTGTAGGTGTTCCTGGATCGACGCCAGCTGGGAGTGGGTACGGGCAGGTGGAGGGAAAGCAGACAAGGAAGGGGCGGAGGAGGGGGAGCAGGAGACAGAAGAAAGGAATGAAGGAAGGGAGTCGCCACGGGAGGATTCAGAGGCAACGCTGTGCACGAGGATCTCAAACTGCCGGTTGACCTGCAGCGACAGCAGCTTTGCGGGGCACGCCAGACTGCAGGTGCTGCTGGATGGACGCCAGCTGGGGTGTTGAGGGTGGAGGGGAGGGGTGAAATGAAACACAGACTACAGGGTATTTTTGAGAATTCCTCGTGGCTTGCTTGCTACTCCGTGGCTTGCTGCGGGTCGAGCCCATTTAATCTTCATGGTGGTGAGGGTGGAGGGATGAAATGAAGCACAGACTACAAGGGAAGGATCATGGACGGTGGCACGAGCAACTGCGCACGAGTATCTGGAACGGCTGGTTCACCTGGGCCTGGGGCGATAGCAGCTGCAGGCTACTACAGCAGCTGCAGGTGCTGCAGGCAGCATTGACGGGAGCTGGGGCGTTTGAAGCGGTGACAGAAGCGGCATAGAAATGGGAGGAAGGGGAGGAGAGAGAGAGGAGGGAAGAGAGGGAGGGAGGGAGTGAGGAAGGGAGGAGAAACGTACCTGTTCATTGGCGTCAGCTGGCAGAGTCTTAGTCGGAACAGACGGCAGCCAGCTGTTGAGTCAACTAAGAAAAGGGGAAGCCTACCTGCTCCTTAACGTCAGCAGGCAAGTTTCTTGACGGAACGGATGACAGGCAAGCAGCCAGCCCGTCATGCACGGTGCTGAAGTCGGTTGTGCTCATTGGGCTCCCGGATACCAGCTGTTGTTTGTGGACGGGAAATGGGGGAGAGAGGAGGAGAGGAGAAGCAGAGAGTCAACGGTCGGCATGCATGGTGCTGAAGTCGGTCGGGCCCATCGGGGAATCTGACTTTTGAGTCGACTCAAACGGAATCTGACACCAGCTGTTGATTGCGGATGGGATGAGGGAGAGAGAGGGGCAGTGGAGAAGCAGACAGGCAAGCAGCAAGGTGTGCATGGATGGTGCCGAAGTCGCTTCTGAAGCATCGCTGCATGCATGGCATCCGTGCATCGCTGCATGGCATCCGTGCATCGCTGCATCGCGTCCGTGCATGGCATGGCATAGCTATAGGAAAGGCAGGACTCTGAGTTTTCACCCACAGTAGCAGCCTGCTGCGTGTGCTGAAGCATCGCTGCATGACCCACGTGCATCGCCGGAGCACCCTGCGAGAGATTTTTTAGAATTCTAAAAAATCACCCCCTCCAGCGCCTGAAACGACCTCTTGAAGCTCCTTAAAAAACGGCTCAAAACAACTGTAAGAAAGGGCGGGACTCCGAAATCTCACCTGACGCAGCCTGCTCCGCGCGCTCAGGCATTGCTGCATGACCAGCGTGCATCGCCGGAGCACATCCTCCAGCTGCTGAACAGCTGTTTTGGCGGCATCCGTGGAGTCTAGAATCGATCCCCAGTGCCAGCCAAATAGTACCAGAAAGTGCTCTCAGCCTGACGTACCTGAAGCAGTCTGCTGCGCGCGCTCAGGCATCGCTGCATGACCCGAGTACATCGCCGAAGCACATCCTCCAACTCCTGAAACGCCCTCTTGGCTTCATCCGCGGAGTCTCCCCACCCGCGGTGGCCCTTGCAGCTCTCGAGAAACGCGTGGATGAGCGTCGCGGATCGAACGAGAATGTTGAAATTATTTATGTAAGCGCCGCCTGGAGTGGCGTCTTCTTGTAGGTGAACCGCGAACTGAGAGAGGGTCATGCAGCTCGCTATAAGCACAACTAACACCGGGTCGTCTGGCTCCATAATTAGAGGCTAATTGGATATAAATTACGAGACTGTCTTATGGACTGATCTCTGAGTCGGCCGTTACTAGACAGACGCTCGAGAACCCTGGGAGAGAGAAATGGCCACTTCTATATCTGTCAGCGAAACGGACAAAGTCTTTTAACGACATGAAAGTCAACGCTTGAAGCGAGAAATATACCTCGTTAACCACTACACGAACGTCAATGCTTTCCACAGGATAACCTAGGGCTAGCCACTGTCACACAGCCGCTGACGGGGATCACCGATGGGGTCTGCTGCAACAACGAACGTTGACGTTACTACAACACCGTGCATTTCAGACGAAGCTAAGAGGGCGGTTAATGGCCCCCGAGAACGCCGTCAGACGACGATGCCACGCCACGCCACGCCGTTTGCTGAGGGAGAAGAAAGCTCCCTAGAGAGTTCTATCTTGAGAGTTCTATCTTGCTCCTTGGGAGTACCGCTGCAGGGACCAGGTGCCTCTCCTTTCCTCCTCTCCCTTGGGTTTTGTTGCTCCAGCGGGCATTTATTTTCCGCTTCGCAAATGGTGGAAAGGGGACAGCGCAGCGGTCGACTTGGGCTTGATTCGATTTATGGGCCCAATCGGAGGGCAGAGCGACGACAGATATTTCAGCCAGTGACGTCGGAGATTCGACAAAAGCATCTGAGACAGGCAAGATTCGAAGAGACTTGAAGTGTACATATCTACAGTCCGCTCCAAGAGTGCGCTAAATTAAACATATTTACAGGCCCCTCTGGGTCACAAAAGCCTGTCTCAACACTAAAAACACTATTGGGTCTTAGCGAGAAGAACGCTGCAGTTCGCGAATATCCTGATCGAGGGACAACAAACGAGTGGCACGTCGACAGCAGCAGCCAATCAGCAACGAGCTCCTGATATGCCGTAATATCAGCAGCTACCACCTCTAGCGTGGCGTTTGTGCTAATGGCATTGTCGCTAAGCTTGTTGGAATGGCGAGGAGTGAAAGGGGTCGAGACGACCTGCATATGAGATTCACGAACGAGTTTGGACGGGTGTGGGAAGGAGGGGGGGTGAGAAAAGAAGGGCGGGGGATCTGGGGCGCAAAATGGTGGTGGTGGGGGTTGGGGGCAGGGGCAGGGCCGGGGGGGGGGGGGGGGGGGGGGTGCACGGAGAAGGGGGTAGCGGCAGCATTATTGAAAAGAAAGGCAATCAGAGAAAGAAATAATGGGGCTGGCAATAAGGGGGCTGACATTATTGTAATCACCTTATTTTGGTACTCATGGTGCATGGCGAGCTTGAAGTGCAGTGAGTTTGTGATGATGAGCCACCGCACCTCGAGAGGAGGGGCGAACCACCAGTCCTCCAGTGACTGAATGGATGGGAGAGAGAGGAATGGGGGGGTGGATAGGATGCATGGGAGAGAGAGGTAGGGAGGGTGGTTTTTGAGTCGGCTAAAAAAACACCTCGGGAACCACCAGTCCTCCAGTGACTGCAGCATGGACGAAAAGGAGGGTGGACCCGAGACAGACATCAGGAAAGGTATGGACAGCAGGGCGGAACAGTGAAAATGAGTTGGTTCTTGAAAATACTTAAATACCAACCAGTTTTCTCAGTGGAGGGTGGGTGGATGCGAGACATGCGAGACAGTAGAGGAAGGGTGGGGTGGAACAGAAGAGATGAGTTGGTTTAGGGTTAAGGGTGGAGGGTGGGTGGATGGAGACAAGTGAGAGGAAGGGACGGAGGGTGGGAAGGAGCAGAAAAGAATGCTTGGAGAGGGGTACGTGAGTGGCGCATTGGCCTGTGGATTTGGAAGGCCCTATGTGCTCTTGAGGTGACACAAAAGTGGAAGGCAGACAAGGTGATAGGAGAAATGAGAGGGGCGCTTAGGGAGGAACATTAGAGTTGCGTCCCAAATTCCGATTCGTGCAACCTATGCTTTAGAAACTAAAAAACAGAGACGTTTTTAAGGTTTTTTTTTTTTTTTTTTTTGGTTCTCTTTTTCTTCTTCTTTCCCACGAAACCTGAGGTTACTTACTTCGCAGAGGCACCTGATTGGCCAGGAAATCGAAAGTGAGGTTTGCCTGCGGAAAGTGAGGCTGGCCTGCGGAAACTTGAAACACGAGGTCATTGCAAATTGGGATTCTTGCAACCGAATGCAACCCCTCCCACCCCTGGGAATCGCTGACTCAGCGAAATAAGTTTTCGACAATGTGAAAGTTGATGGTCATTAGCTTTTGACAAACCTCTCGCGAATGGAAACCTCTCCCTAACGCCCATCAACTTTCTAAAGCTTTAACAATTTTGCGCTGTGGGCTGAAAGAGAAGGGTTGGAGAGGGGTGGGGGAATGGTGCGTTGGCCTGTGCACCTGGAAGGCCCGGCGTGCTTGTGAGGCTAGTTGGTTTGGTTTCCAGGCGGAACGCGGATGCTGCCGTGCTCGGTATGCAGAACAGGGCTTCCTGCAGCACCGCACTGAGCTCTGCAACAGTCCCTGCAGCACTCACCGTAGAAACCCGTGTTGCAGCCATGGTAAAAGTCACTGTTGTAGCAGCCAAGGTAAAAGTAGCTGTAGCAGTCACTGTAGCGCACCTGAGCACATTGCAGCAGGGGCCGAGCCACCTGTTTGAGCCTCTCAACCTCCCCCTCGCTCAGCTGCTTAGGGCCGTCCTCCCCCTCCCCTGATGCGGTGCAATGTGGTGGGGTTGGATGGGATGGGTTGGGTTGGGTTGGGATGTGACATGAATCCGAGTTAGCAGGTTACTGGAAAATATTAAGTCAACGAGGAGCAACGGCGCACAATGTGACAGTGGATATGGGCTGTGTAGTGCGTGCGTGGATGCACATGAGCCACATAAAAGAAGCAAAGAACAATGGCGTTAGCGAGAGAACAAAATCCCACCTTCTCACACAGTCCCATCGGTGAACCTGATGTGCACGCCAATGCTCAGAGAGGCACAGCGACGGGCATCGGCTACAATAAGAGCCATTGCAACAGGCAGTCTCACTCACTCACACTGGAACAACCCTCACCTTCCCACACGGTGCCATCAGTGAACCTGATGTGAACGCCAATGGCCACCGACCCAGGTGCATGCAGCTCCCTTTCCAAGCCACTCAGCAGCTGCCGGACCTCCGCATTAGGTCTGGAAACACACGTACAAGGAGTAGTGGTGACTGTATGACGCAACTTTGTCATCACATCATATCACATCCCATCACATCACATCACATCGCATCGCATCGCATCGCATCGCATCGCATCCCATCGCATCGCATCGCATCGCATTGCATCGCATCGCATCACATCCCATCCCATCGCATCCCATCGCATCCCATCGCATCGCATCCCATCGCATCGCATCCCATCGCATCGCATCGCATCACATCACATCACATCACATCCCATCCCATCCCATCGCATCACATCGCATCGCATCGCATCACATCACATCACATCCCATCCCATCCCATCCCATCCCATCGCATCACATCGCATCACATCACATCATATGACATCGCAATCCATTTCCAAGTCCCTTCATGAAATTTCAGCTTACCTGTCAACTAGCACATGTCAGGATCCAACCCTAACCTAATCCAGAAAACCATACTTGAGCAGGAAGCGCAGAATACAGCCGAGAGCATACGGTGGGCGCAACCCCGTGGCTCGGAGCCGTGCGGCCCACTCGCCCTGCTCCTCCGTCAGCATCTGAGTCAGCACGCCGCGATTCCACGACAGCCTGACGAGGCGGAACTTGCTGTAGGGTGCAAAGGTGTCCTGGGTGGTTGGATGACGAATATGGGTGGGTGAGTGCGGGGGGGTGGGTGAGTGCACGGGTGCATTGACAAGCATGTGACAACAGGTGACCGCCTGACAAGACAGAAATTGCTGTAGGGTGAGAAGGTGTCCTGAGTGGTTGGGGGGTATATAGCTGGATGGGTGGGAGTACGGGGTGTTTCGACAAGCACATGAACAGCCTGATGCTGCGCAACATGCTGCAGGGTGAAATGACCTCCAGGATCGACGGAGGGCCCAATAAACAGAGGCACTCGTGAACGAATCACTGATTCTGTAGGTGGATGGATGGATGGATGGATTGATGATGGATAGAGGCGCATTCGATACAGGAACACACTAGCATGCTCGCAAACTGTGTATCCCAAATGCCCCGCATCGGCACGTCATCATCAACACCAATCATAGCTGCACGCGCTATAGTCACACACCAGCACATCCATTTCACTGCACACACCAATGTGCATGCTCCGGAAACGTGTGTCCCGGAGGTCCAACATGGGCTCGTTATCCTGATTGCGCAAACCTGTGGTTAGACCATAGAAGCGTGCACTAACCTGCACGTTGGTGCGCTCATCTGACCACAGACACCAACCTGCACGCCCTCAAACTGTGTATCCCCCATGTCTAGCAACAGCCCATCATCGACGCCCCTCATACCACCATGCTGTACGGCTATACACCAACCTGCATGCTCATGCGATGTCACCAGAGAAACACACCTGCACGCCCCCCAACTGCATGCAAGCGTGGCTATAGTCACCCACCAGCACAACCAGCAACCAACCTGCGCCCATTTTGCTGCAACCTCCAACCTGCAGGCTCGCGAATTGTGCATCCCGGATGTCCAGCACCGACACTCATCATGCCAGCATCGACACTCGTCATGCCAGCATCGACACTCGTCATGCCAGCATCGACACTCGTCATGCCAGCATCAACACTCATCATGCCAGCATCGACACTCATCATGCCAGCATCGACACTCATCATGCCAGCATGGATGCGTGTCAACACAGTTTTAGGGCGTGCAGTGTTGAAAAGCCATCCATGCTTTTCAACAACCCGCATGCTGATGCGATGTGAAAATCCATCCATGCGATGTGAAAAGCCATCCATGCGATGTGAAAAGCCATCCATGCGATGTGAAAAGCCATCCATGCGATGTGAAAAGCCATCCATGCGATGTGAAAAGCCATCCATGCGATGTGAAAAGCCATCCATGCGATGTGAAAAGCCATCCATGCGATGTGAATAGCCATCCATGCGATGTGACCACAGAAACACACCTGCACGCTCCCAAACTGCGTATCCCGAATGTCCAGCATCGGCACATCATCGACGCTCATCTCATTTGTTTCCGGGCTGCCCGCAATCACCGACTCAGTCGTGATTTTCCGGGCAGGCTCGAGTGGAATGTCATCAGCCCCATCAGTGGAGGAAGAGGAGGAAGAGGAGGAGGAGGAAGAGGAAGAGGAGGAGGAGGAAGAGGAAGAGGAGGAGGAGGAGGAGGAGGAGGAGGAGGAGGAGGAGGAGGAGGAGGAGGAGGAGGAGGAGGAGGAGGAGGAGGAGGAGGAGGAGGAGGAGGAGGAGGAGGAGGAGGAGGAGGAGGAGGAAGCGGGGGGCGGTATCCTCAAGGCGGAAGGGAATCTCCAGTCGATGAGGTTCGGCTCGAAGGCGAATGGGAGGCAGCGGTGGCGGATCAGGAGGGCGCGGCCGTCCAATAGCGCGACGACAAATGTCGAAGCGAGGCCGAGGAGAGTGTCCCCCAGACCCCCACAGCCGTGAAACCACTCGTAGGTGAGGAAACGCGGGTACGAGGGGGGCGAGGGGGAGGGGGAGGGGGAGGGGGAGGGGGAGGGGGAGGGGGAGGGGGAGGGGGAGGAGGAGAGGGAGGAGTAGGAGGGAGGGGAAAGGAGAGGGGTAGAGGAAGTGGGAGTGGTGATTGGAGACGGCGCAGGGGAGGGGGGTGTGGATGGAGGGGGTGAAAAGCCTCTGATGGTGGTGGCGGTGCTGCTGCTGCTGTCTCTGTTGTCTGCTTCTTCCCTGCTCTTTTCCCGGTTGGCTGCTCGAATTCGCTGGTGCAGGGATATGTACTCGTTATGCCATGACCCACAAAGCGACTCAGGGTAACCGAAATGAAGGATGGACGACCGCTCGGATTCTCCTGAGTCCGCCGAGGCTCTCGAAGACGCCAAAACGAGGAGCACAATAGCGAAGCGTAAAATCATCCTAGAAACGGATCGTTACTGCCTGCGGCGATCATTAGGGAAGCAAGTAGTAAGCGTCTGACCCTGAGGAAGCAGGATCAGCCATTCAATGTCGCTGTAGTGCCCTAGAAACATTGTCAGGTTGTCAGCATAGCATTATTAGCTTTATCAGAGCGCACTGGCATCGCCATTACTTCCCCCTCCGGCAGTCCCCTTCCTCTCCCACGAATTCCGCACCGGCACTGCCTGCGCTATACGAATCCGGCTCCCGCAACTTCCGCATACTAGGGTCCTTAGCGAGCTCGTCGCTGTCAGCGGTTTGTTTGCTGGATTAGCGTGGATCCCTGCCTAGGCATTCCGAAATAGGTACTGTAACGTGGATTAGGGCTCCGATAAGGAGCAGGGAGGGATGCAGAATATTGATGGTTGCATCGCTGATTCAAAAGTCGCATCGTTTACATAGGCATCACACTTTTACGTGAATAGAGAGAGCTTAGTTTCTAAATGGCACATAAACTACGAAAAAACCAATATAGCATAGGATTCAGCTATGAATTGAAAAACTAGTGTGTATTATTAAACATTTTGTACATCGTGCTCGTATCGTGTGTAATGAATTATTTTTCCATGTCCTGCACACGGTATGACAATTTCAATTGACGAGTGTTCGGATGCTCTACAGCAGTGTCGATTTAATCTGAAACGAGTACGTTGTGCTGCATCAGCGCAGATTTGGCACGCCATGCTGGCGGACCAAAACCCGGACGACTCCATTGAACTAACGAGCCGCAGCGGACTAACCGCAGCTTTCCCCCCACCCGCCTCCAACATCTCTCGTGGTTGACAAGGCCAAACTCGACTGCGCCACGCGTCAGATTCTCCCTAAATTCTCTGGAGTCTCCTCCAACACACAGTCCGCCACTTTTCCCCCCAGCCCCACAACTAGCATGTGGGCAGTCCATTGTTATTCTGCGCCGCTCATCCATTCCGCTTCCCCAAACCAGCGCCCCCAGTGGGGGGAAGTCCACCGCCAGGCGTTCCTTCCAGTGCGCTTCACGCGCATCATTCCACTCCCCAAGCGCCCCAACACGTGTTCCGCAATGTTTCCCCCGAATTCCGCGAGGCTGTACGTGAACTGTACTGTGTCCCCCCCCCCCCCCCCCGCCCGCCACAAGCAACTTTCCCCTCCCCCCTGATCCCGCATCCCCTCGAATCGAAACCATCCCCCTTCTTCCATCCGTTCTTCATCCATCCCCTCCCCTCGTCTTCGTCTTACATCCTCCTCCTCCCTTTCTGTTACTGTACTGCTATTTGAACGAGGTTAGTCACTTCGAGCAAGAATTTGACGCGAGTCCGTCTAGTGAATTCTCACCTCCCAGAGGAGACTTGTATAATTCCTTTTTAGCGAATCAAACGTTTTCAAAGGTCTGAAGGTTGCCGAATTCTTTTTGGTTCTTCGCGTTCAGTTCTTTTGGTACTTCGCGATCCTAGGGTTTCCCTTCGGCTCTGCGCCAAGATTCCTTTCTGGTACCAGGGTCTGAATAATATATCTGTTATCCTCCTAAGATAAATACAAATAATAAATCGCGCGGAAATATTCAGCAGTCGTACTTTAGCCGGAAGCCTAACACTCTTCGGTAGTTGTATATTTGAGACATATTACAGGCGATGCTTACAGTAGGCACACTGACGATGGCGTGGTCGGCGCGAGTGTCAATTTCCGCGCGAGTGTCGAGTTCCCCGCAAGTATCGCGGTCGGCGCGAGTATTCCGCCTCGTGATTCTCCTCGTCTGCTACTCCGCCCTCATCGCCGCTACCAGCGCTACGAATTCGGCTGCGGCAACGAATCTCCACGAATCCCAAGGTACGCCTCTCGTAATTTTGCTTTGCGCGCGTAGGCACGCCGAGTCTCTGCCATGCCGCTAGTACCGCTCCAGACATTTTGAGTCAGCGCAAAAGCGGTAATACCGCTCCAGGCATGAGAAAGGCTCGAGAGCCAACTGTTTAAGCACTTGTTGATTTGAGATATACCTTGGGCGTCTGCATATATTGCGGCACGGGCTTTGGGTTAGACGCGGGACGGAACGACGCGAGTTTTTTAGCCCCCTGAACCTTGAACCCGCGTCGTTCCGTCGCCCCCCCCTCCCAACCCTTCACCCCGCCCATCACCCTCTTTTTCTCCCGTCCCTCCCCTCTCTTCCCTTTCCAACCCAGAGCTGCCGTTGCAGCTGTTGATCAAGGCATGGCGGCTCCCAGCATTTGCGCCGCATTTCACTGAACTCCTTGCACCTTCCTCTTTCCTCTCCCCTTTTTCCTTCCCCCCCCCACCTCCTCCCCAGAGAAACCACTCCAGCTGTTGAGCAAGGCATGGCGGCTCCCAACATTTGCGCAGTGCGACACGCGTCTTGGGCTCACGTGTGACGCGCAGGGCATGGTGATTAGCATGTGAGTACAGCGAGGGCATGTCAGCAGGTGTGATTGCTATGACAATAGCGAGGGAATGATCGCATTATGTCACCCTCGCTGCCTCCTCTCTCGCCCTTCACGTGTTGTGCATCTATCCCCCTACAACCCCCCCCCTTCAAACCGCCACACCCCCCCACCCTCCCTCGAACTCCAACCCCCAGTCCCCCTCTCATGTGGTCCATGTACTAAATCGCATGCACACCCGCTGCTATGCTACCCCTGCACTGCCTCCCTTGTCTCCCTGCAGCGATCTGCCCCATCGCATCCTCACTGGAGTCATCCCTAAAGCAATCTCCGCTTTTGTCAGGCTCACTAAACTGTAAGGCCGCAGCTGCTGCTAGCTTCCCTGCACTCTCGCACAATGATGGTCTATCGCAACCACTCTTGCTTCTCCCCTTTCTCAACCCTACGTTCCCCATCCTTCCACCCGTGACCCCTCCCATCCGCCCCCTCTTCCCCCTCTTCCCCCTCCCCCCCCTCTCTCCCGTTCCTGCTTCTCCTCCTCCCTGAGCACTCCCTGAGAACCTTACTTTCCTTTGCTCCTTCCTTCCCTGAGGACTCCAGCTCACCGCACGACATGGCAACCACCTGCACGGCCCTTATCCTCCAACCTTCCATGGCCCCGCCTCTCGTTCCTTCTCCCCTCTTCCTTACCTTACTTCCCCCTTCGCCCCCCTGTTCTCCTGGCTCCAGCTCGCTACACAACAACCACCTGCATGGGTCCGTGCCGCCTGAACTGAGCAAGCTGACGCTGCTGCAAGAGCTGTGAGTGGCATGGGGCGGCATGGGCCGGCACGGGGCAGCATGAGGCGGCATGGGGTGGGTATTGGGCGGCACAAGGACGGCACGGGGAGGGTATGGTACAGGATGCACGGGGATGGCTGGGTTGGGCATGGCATGGCGGAGAGATTTATGGTCGCATGTTTCCGTGCATGAGATACCCATCCATCCATCCACCCACCCTCTCACCCATGGACCCATGTCTCTGCAAGTACCTGCATCACAACGAACTCACGGATGCCATTCATGCTTCTTCTCTTGAGGCCCCTCAGTAATCATCCGAAGCATGCAACCAACCACCCATCCCCCCATCCATCCCCCCATCCATCCACCCACCCTTCTCTCTGCAGGTACCTGCATCACAACAATCTTACGGGCGCCATTCCTGCCACTCTCAGCCTCCTCACCAACCTGGACGCTCTGTGAGTCAAATCTGAGTCAAAGCCAACTCGTTCCGGAGAGACTTTGCTGCTCAAAACCGTGAAGACTTTGCACCGACCTTTCTGTTTCTACAAATCAGTCTTGCTTCTCCCTACTTATCCCTTCCCCCCTGCCAATGTTCACCCCTCTCCACCCCTCTCCACCGCTCTCCACCCCACCGCATTCCCTGTTGCAGTAACCTCGGCCAGAATGCCCTGTCCGGCCCCATCCCCCCCCAGCTCGGCAATCTCAAGGCACTGCTACTCCTGTGAGCCCCCATCCCACTGTTCACGGCCCATCCTGCCCTACTGGTTTGCATGGGATGGAATGGGAATGCCACGTGATCGCCATGCGCTTGCTTTTGAGTCAACTCAAAAGCCATGCGCTTGCCCTGATATCGCTCCTTCGCAGCGTTTTCTTCCAGTGACGCTGACTGTACATACCCCCCATGCAGCATGCCCCCCATGCATCATGCCCCCCATGCATCATGCCCCCCATGCATCATGCCCCCCATGCAGCATCCATCCCATGCATCATGCCTCCCATGCGTCAAAGTGTTTTCAACCAGTAACACTTATGTGCATCCCATGCCCCGTGTGCCGCATCCCTCCCCTCCCATCCCTCCCCTCCCATCCCTCCCCTCCCCTCCCCTCCCCTCCCATCCCTCCCCTCCCCTCCCCTCCCTCCCCTCCCCTCCCCTCCCATCCCTCCCCTCCTTGACTGCAGCAACCTCGATGAAAACCGCCTCAGCGGAAACATCCCGGAAACTCTCGGGAAGCTTCCCAAGCTGCAGCACCTGTGAGTTCCATTTACGACTGCAACACTGTGTGAGCCGCACTCTGAGGCTTGCTGCGGATCGAATCCAACTTTTCCCCTCTTATGGCCCACTAAAACGGAGATATCTCCAGCTCAATTCAAACCAACCTCATCCCTCCCATCCCTCCCACCCCTCCCACCCCTCTCATCCCTCCCACCCCTCCCTCCCATCCCTCCCATCCCTCCCACCCGTCCGATTCCTCGCATCCCTTTCTCGTCTCTTTCGTGCCTGCAGCGAGCTTGGAGGCAATGAGCTCACAGGGCCAATCCCAGCATCGATCACAGCTCTTGGGAACCTGCTGACACTGTAAGCAGTGCACCAGTGCATTTGCATGTGCATGTGCATGTGCATTTGCATGTGCCGCCTGCGCGTCCTTATCCTTGCCGCCCACTCGGATTTGATTGTTTCATTTAGCAATCTCAGTGCACCACATGCCCCCATGGTTGTCACCTCAGGCGCCTCACTACTCCCTCCCTCCAATTCCGAATACCCACCCCCTCCCCCCCCTTCCTCGCCCACCGTCCCCCTCTATAACATGTGTGCGGCCATAGCGATTTGAGTCCCAACAAACTCACCGGCGCCATCCCAGCGACCATCGGCGGCCTCAAGAACCTCAGATGGATGTGAGTGGCGGGGTGGGATGCGGTGGGGTGGGATGAAATGAGGTGTGGGACGATGATGTGAGTAAGGTAGTGAGCTAAAGCTCATTCGTTCCCTTCCTGCTCTGACAGCCTCTTCTTGAGCTCACTCCCTTTCAATGGCACCTTTCAATCACTGCCTGCCATTGGCCCGCCCGCGTTGCCTGATTCGTCAGGTACCTGTCCGGGAATCAGATCAGCGGCAGTCTGCCGCCCGCAATCGGCAACCTCCATGACTTGGAGCACCTGTAAGTCAAGGCTTCGCAGCAGCATTTCTGGTCAGCAAGTTTGGTCAGCAGTTTTGGTCACCAGTTTTGGTCACCAGTTTTGGTCACCAGTTTTGGTCACCTGTTTAGCAGCTGTTACACTCGTAATTGGCAACGTTGAGCCACGTGTGCAGGTGGATTGAGCTGTCTGCACTATGGGCTTCTCTTGCCACTCATTTTCTGACACGTGTCATGCTCCTTCCCTGCATGCCACGTGTGCAGGTGGATTGAGGACAACCGACTCGCCGGCCCGCTGCCAGACCAAATCGGCAGCTGCACCAGCCTGCAGATTCTGTGAGTACCAAATCATATCAAATCTGACAGGATCATGAGAAGCATACCTGTCTCAATCGCATCTTCCCTCGTCCCTCTCTCTCCACCAGCTATCTTCCCAGCAGCAGCATCCGTGGCAGGCCATGCAGTTTATCTCATGTCTTCCGCACTTCCGATTTTTGAGTCGACTCAAAAATCGACTCATTACACATGCAGGTTATCTCATATCTTCCCAGCAGCAGCATCCGTGGCAGGCCATGCAGTTTATCTCATGTCTTCCGCACTTCCTCTTCCCCTTGTGTTCTACTCTTCCCTTTCACCCGCCACCAGCTACTTGTCCAACAACAGCATCACTGGCAGTCTGCCGGACAGCTTAGGCCAGCTGCGAGCGATGAGAGACATGTGAGGCAGGGGATAGGGGGCGTGTTACATGGGGCATGAGGCATGGGGCATGAGCCATGGAGCATGGGGACGGGGCGGGCGCGGGGGCAGGGGGGATGGTGCATGGTGCATGGTGCATGTGTGCCGCTCGGTTCGGTTAAGGCAAGTTGCGTGTGGGTGGGCCGCTTGGTTCGCACTCTGACACGAGGCTTCTTTCCCCGGAGACCAGCTTTTTCTCCATGCATTTCACCTCCGCATCCAGGGGAGGGAGACCAGTGTTTTCTCAAGGCATGACCCATTTTACCTCCATGCCTCTGATTGCACACTCCCCTGGACTCTCATGTCCTTTTCTGTCTTTCTGTATCATCCTTGTTTTGTTTGCCATCCCAGGCGGCTGGACCACAACATGATTTCTGGCAGCCTGGCGCCGTCTGTCGGCGCCCTCACCAACCTCTCCGTGCTGTAAGTGCGAGTCTGCGCTACGCTGTCGTAAAGTTCCAGGTGCAGTCAAAGTCCCCATCGCGCAAGACCCTCACTGTCGGCGCCCTCACCAACCTCTCTGTGCTGTAAGTGCAAGTCTGCGCTGTTGTAAAGATCCTAGACTAAGCTTGAGTCTGCCCTGTTGTAGAATTGAACCTCAAGTCCGGTCCAGTGTCTCTCTCTCTCTCTCCCACTTTCCTTCTCCCCATTTCCGCCCCTCCTCTCCTCCTGCCCCGCCCGTTCGCCCAGCGAGTTGAGCTACAACCAGCTCTCAGGCCCCCTGCCGGCCACACTCGGTCAACTCGCACAGCTCAAGACACTGTACGTTGCCACTCCTCTCCACTCCTCTCCACTTCTCCTCTCCTCTCCACTCCACTCCTGTCCACTCCTCTCCACTCCTCTCCTCTCCTCTGCCAGCCCCACTGGGAAAATCTCCTCTCCCGCCTCCTCGTATCCTCCCCTCCTCCTCATTGTTTCCCCTCCTCCTTTGTTGTGCCCCATTTCCTCCTTTTTTCGGCTCCATTTCCTCCTCTGGTTTCCCTTCTCCCGCTTTCCCTCAAATTTTCCAACCGAACAAAAATTCTAGATACCAAGTCACTCAGACCGCCACCTTTCCCTCTCCCTCTCTCCCCACCCAACCCCCCCCCCCCCCCCTCTTCCTCAACCCCCTTCCCCTTTCACCAGGAGCATCAACGCCACTTCCCAGCAATGCCCACCCTCAGCCTCCCTCTGTCAAGTCACTCAGACCGCCGCCTCCTCCTTCTGCCAGCTTTGCTCTGAGTTCTGCGCCTCTTGCCAGCAGAGCGAGGGGGGCAACGGAGAGGGGAATGGGGGGGGGAATGGGGGCAATGGGGGGAATGGGGGGAATGGGGGGAATGGGGGGGGAAATGGGGGCGATGCAACGGGCGGAAGTGGGGGGAGCAGCGACAGCAGCAACGGCAGCAACGGCAGCAGTGGTGGTGGCGGTGGGGGGCCGAGCCAGGGGGTGATCATTGGGGTGGTGGTGGGGGCGCTGCTCCTCGTGACGGCTCTGCTCGTCGGGTTCTTCGTCTGGTGCTGCAGCAGGGAGGGTCCCTCGCCATTCAAGCACGTCAAAGTCGTCGGTGAGTAGTCCTTACATCTGGCACTTCTGTGTTGGCACCAGGCCTTTCTTCTGGAGACCCGCCAGGCCACCAACAACTGCAGCGAGAAGAGCTCCCCCCATCCCCCCATCAGCGCTCACTCCCCCCATCCCCCCTTACTTCCCATGTCCCTTTCCCCCTTCCCCCCTTTCCCCCCTCCCATCAATGCCGGCTCTTTCCCCTTGCTCTGCTGCCGCTACTCCCTGGTCGAGATCCGGAGGGCCACCAACAACTGGAGCGAGGAGAGCAGGATCAGCATCAGGGCTTTTTCTTCTAGACCCATCTGTGCTCGCTCACCGCCTCCCATCCCTCCCAGCTCCCCAGTTTTGAGGCGCCTCAAAACTCGCCTCCCATCCCTCCCAACTCCCCCCCAAACCCAGACTCTGACGACTTCGACGATGCTGGGCTCATCCCGTCTCTCTGCTGCCGCTACTCCCTCGTCGAGATCCGGCGGGCCACCAACAACTGGAGCGAGGAGAGCAGGCTCGGCAACGGGGCGCACAGTGATGTGTTCAAGGGCACGTGCCCATACAACCCGGCGAGCACGTGGGCGGTGAAGCGGTACAAGCAGCAGTCGAGTCACTTTGAGAAAGAGGTTAGTTTTGAAAATGAGAGGCGAGCCGACTCATGCTCAGACACCCACCTTAGGCACAAGACACCCACCAGCCAAGAGGCTAGCTTGAGGTTCTGACTTGTGCCTGGTGGTCCTTAGGCACAAGTCTCTGCAGCAGATCCTTCTTGTCGTATCTCTGCTGGTGCCTGCCTGTCCGTACCCCTGTCTATTGCCACCCTCCCATACCCTCTCCACTCCCTGTCTTTCTAGAGTTGACTAAGGAACCAACGCAAACACACTCCTCCCTGCCTGCATACTCCCCTCGTTCTGCAAATGCGTCTCGTCACAGGTGGAGCAGATCGCGAGCAAGTGGCACCCCAACCTGGCACACCTGCTGGGCTACTGCGTTGACACGGACAGCCGCGTGGAGGACGGGAGGATGGTGCAGGTGCAGGAGCAGATCGCCGTGTACGAATACGTGCACCATGGGGACCTCAGCCGGTACCTGTATGAAGGTGAGAAGTCTGCCTATAACGGGGATGCATCCCACCAACCCCTCGAAAGGATGGTGCAGGTGCAGGAGCAGATCGCGGTGTACGGATACATGCACCATGGGGACCTCAGCCGGTACCTCTATGAAGGTGAGAGGTCTGCATGTGACTCGTATACACCTCAAAAACGGTTTTTTGCAAATAGTGCAGGACCAGGGATCTCGAGCCGTGCAACATCCTCAAAGGCAAGGACTTTCAGGGCAGGCGGCAATACGGGCTGCTGCTCTGAGAAAGTCTCTCTTGCCGCCTCTCCCTCCCTTCTGGCCTTTCTTTTCGTGCACACACCTTCCATGCTTCGTTCACCCTGTGGGAGCGAGTCGACATCCTCTTTGCGATTGCCAACGGCCTGCAGTACTTGCGCTCGGTGGGCATGGTGCCCGGTGGGGACCTCAAGCCGTCCAACTTCCCACTCCCTCTCCTCCGTCTTCCTTTGCTCATCCCTCCAGACACCTTCCGTGCGTCGTTCGCCCTGTGGGAGCGAGTCGACATCCTCATCGGGATCGCCCACGGCTTGCAATACCTGCATTCGGCGGGCATGGTGCACGGGGACCTCAAGCCGTCCAACATCCTGATCGATAAGAGCTGGCAGGCCAAGGTGGCCAACTATGGGCTGCTGCAGCGCAACGAGCAGAGCGCCGTCAGCGCCGGCAAGATGTTTGGCACTCCTGGCTACGTGGACCCCGTCTATCTGACGTCCCACATCGCCACCAAGGCGTCAGACGTGTTCAGGTGAGGGTTGTGATGCGTTGTAGTCTTGAGACGTTCTTCTCTCTAAGCCACCTCCTCCTTAGTACTCAACCCCCATTGGCCCCGCGCCTGTGGTGGCAGCACCACCCGTTCCTGCACCTGTGGCTCGCGCACCACTGCTCTGTGCTCGTCTGCCGCATTAGTGCCCATAGCTTGTGCTCTGTGAGGAGTTGCCTGTGCTTGCATCCGTCCAGTCCAGGCGCTCACCTTTGAGCCACCACCTCAAAGCGTGCTCTCTATGCGTCCTTCCTTGCGCCCTTGTGCCTGCCTCGTTTTGTCTCCTCCCTTCAGCTTCGGCGTCCTGTTTCTGGAGCTGCTCACTGGTCGGCCGCCATTCATCCGGGTACAGGAGGAATACGGGGAGGACCACATCCACATCGCCGACTGGGTGAGTGCTGCTGCTGCTTTTATTGCACTCCTGGGCGGGTTTGGATTGCGTTCTTGGCTGATCAATCGCGACCGTTCATCCCGGTGCTGGCGATGCTCTCTCCCCTCCACCTTCCCTTCGCTGCCACTCGTCTTCTCTCTAACCAACTTACCAACTGACCCTACGTTTTCTGCCTTGCTCTTTCTCGTGTCTCCTACCACAACCAGGCGGCGCCTCTCATCGAGGAAGGAAAGACGGAGGAGTTCAAGGACCCACATCTCGATGTCCCGGAGTCCTCCTTCCTCTCCCTGGCGGAGCTGGCCATCCGCTGCACCGCCATGCCCTTCACTGAACGCCCTCCCATGGGCGAGGTGCTCGCGACTCTCAAGACCATTCGGACAGACTTCTTTGGACTGACAGACCCTGATGATGCGTATGAGAGCATGGGGGATGGTGGCGGCATGGAGAATGGGATAGGCGATGATCATGATGGGAATGATGGTCGCCCTGAATGGGCTGTTTCCGTTGACCAAGCTTGAGATGTTTAGGGTGCTTTCTTTTATATGTGTCGATGCTGTGTGAGTGGGTGCTTATATGAAAATGATGTATTGTAAAATCGAGTGAAATGTGCCGAGATAGTTTATCAAAGTCAACGAATGGTTTATATAGCCTAGGGTGTTGTACTCTCTATGGTCTGACCCTATGTAGTCTACAGAACATACACACATATGTTTGACACACCCCCTGGACTAGATAGGGGCAGCGCCTGGGGAGAGACAAGCAGCTCAGGGTGGCACTACTAGTCCAACCTCTGAGGCAAGGGTCTAGAGACCAGTCAACAGAGTACAAACAAGTGCAAGACCAGGGCGGCACAACTAGCCACTGGGAAGAGGCCGCAGGGCCAGTCAAGGTAATATAAAAAGAGTTGTACACAATCAAGGTCCTAGCGAGTGAGGAGCTACAGGAACGAGACCAAGCTGTACACAGTGCCGCTGATGATCTTTAGGCGCAAGCGCCTTCGTAGAGATATCAGCTGTGTTGGCACCAGAGGCCAAGTGTACTACGCAGGCCTAGCGACGCTGGTGTAGCTCGCGCAGGAGGAAGTACCGCAGTTGGATGTGCTTCGCCATGCCCTCGAGTCTACGCTCTTGACACAGGAGGATCATGGCCCTGTTATCCGCGTACAGGACCGGGGCAGAGCTAGGTCGCTCACCTAAGTCTGTGAGCAAGAAGGTCAGCCAACGGAGCTCCTGTGCCGCCATGGCACCGGCGTAGATCTCAGCCTCACAGCTAGACTGGGCAACAGACGACGAGCGTGTGGACCGCCACGAGACAGCACTTGCACCAAGGCTAACGCAGTAGCCCTGGGAGGACCTGAGAGTCTCGGCGTCGTCTGCCCAAGAAGTGTCTGTGTGCGCGGTAAGGACCACTGGTCGGTGTCTGCCGGTGGCCACAAAGCGGGCCAGGATGCTGAGAGGGTATGCGAGATCTGGACGCGTGCAAGTCATCAGGTACATGAGGCAACCCCCCAGCTCTGCGTAAGGACCACTAGGCTCTACAGCCTCCTCCGAGACTGGAGCAGAGAGTCCGTGGCCTACTAGCAGAGAGGTGGGTTGTGCGGAAGAAAACTGAAGGCCGGACCACTGAAGGACCTGGCGCACCAAGTGTGACTGTGAGAGAGTAATGGTGCGCGCTGCTCTGTTCCTGGAGATCTGCAGGCCAAGGTAGCGGCGTAGCTCTCCTAGGTCAGTGCAAGTGTGTCTCCTCAGCAGTTCGGCCTTCATGGAGGCCAGTGCGTCTCTGTATGCAGTAGCCAAAACCAGGTCGTCTACGTAGACCAGGATGTAAAACAGAGTCTGGCCGGAACGGACGAAGAGCGAGGGGTCTGCAGACGACGAAAAGAACTGCAGGTCAGCAAGTGTAGCACGCAGTGTGTCGTGCCACTCATGGGGCGCCTGGCGCATGCCGTAGACGGGGCGCCGGAGGAGCCACTAGGTAACAGGGGGAAAGGTACCGGAGAAGCCCTAGGGGCGGCGCAGGTAGACCTGCTCGTGTAGACTGCCCTGGAGGAAAGCTGTAGAGAAATCGAGGGAGTGTAGCTCGTAGTCACGCTATGCTGCTATGTGTAGCAGCGCCCAAAGAGTAGTCATCTTCGGGGTCCAGGCGAAGGTCTGAAAGAAGTCAACACCCCCACGCTGACTGAAGCCACGACCAACGTAGCGCGCCTAGAAGACAGGCGGCTCTCCAGGAGGGCGCTTCATCTTGAAGAGCCATCGGCCATCGACTACGTTCATCCCAGGTGGGGGAACTGCGTCAACGAAGGTACCGGTGGATCTTCAAGATGCCATCTCCTGCTCCATGGCAGCTATCCACAGAGAGGCCCAGGGTCCCGAAGTCGCCTCAGCGTAGGTGCGAGGGGTCGGGATGTCAAGGGCGTCAGGGTCACCCTCAGGGACTAGTAGCATGGAACAGAGATGGGGAGCGGCCTCTGACAAGAACGCAAGCTCATACTGTCTGTCCTCTAGGACGTCACTGTGAAGGGCAGCCACACCCCCGACGGACGGAGGACAGGCAGGGTCATAGACCAGAGCTGTGGCGTAGTCAAGGCGGCATGTAGCGGCGAAGTCAGTGACAGCCACAACAAGAGCCGACAGATTCAAAACAGGAACGGACGGGTCAGTAACAAGCGAGGCAAGAACACCAGGGACAAGGGGACGCGCTGCACGGAGGAAGTCAGAGAACTGAGGGGGGGGCATAGCGAGCGACGACGGCGGAGGAGACAGGAGGAGCGAAGGAGCACGACACGCATGGGAGCGAAGCAACATAGGGTGGGAATGCTGAACAGGGGAGGCAAGGCGAGCACGAGACGGACGACGAGCCCAGACGTGAGACGGAGGAGTCAGGTCAGGAGAGAGAGAGGAGGAGATACAGGAGGAGAATGAGGGGGGAAACGAGCCAGAGAAGAGTCTGACGGAGGGAACACAGGGCCGGAGACCAGCAGAGGAAGAGGCGGCGGCGACGGAGGAGGCACTGGCAGGATGCCAGGGGAAGGAAGACCGTGGAGGCGAAGAGCAGACACCGGCAGCGGCTGCGGCGGCCTCCTGACGCCAACACCAGAACCTCCAGCAGCACCACGGCTCACTCCAAGAAGCTCCACTCCAGTACCCCCAGAACCGGAACCCGCTCTAGCCCGCTCCCTAGCACCCCCGGAGTGCACGACCCCCAACAGCGGTGACGACGGCGGCTGCGGCCACGGCGGCGATGGCAGCTGCGGAGGCGGCTGGGGTTGCAACAGCACCGGCGGCTGGGGCTGCAACAGCACCGGCAGCGACAGAGGAGGAGGGACCGGGGCAGGGACAGGCGGTGGAAGAGACTCCGCAGAGCCACGAGAGTCAGCAGACTCCTCGGCAAGGACACCCGACGGGAGAGGGGTGACGTGAGACACACCAGACAGGACAGGCGGGAAGGGCGAGACGGCTAGGCGACGGGGCCACGGGGCCGATAGGTGATGAGGCCGCAAGGCCGCTAGGTGACGGGGCCGCGGGGCCGCTAGGGGATGGGGCCGCGGGGCCGCTAGGGGACGGGGCTGCGGGGCTGCTAGGGGACGGGGCCACGGGGCCGCTAGGGGACGGGGCCGCGGGGCCGCTAGGGGACGGGGCCGCGGGGCCGCTAGGTGACGGGGCCGCTGGGCCACTAGGTGACGGAGCCGCGGGGCCGCGAGGTGACGGGGCCGCGGGGCTGGTAGGTGACTGGGCCGCGGGGCCGCTAGGTGATGGGGCCGCGGAGCCGCGAGGTGACGGGGCCGCGGGGCCGCGAGGTGACGGGGCCGCGGGGCCGCTAGGTGATAGGACCGCGGTGCCGCTAGGGGACGGGGCCGGCACGGGCGACGGGGCGTCTAGGACCTACGGCGGAAGAGCTGGTGGGCGGGGGGGACGTAACCTACTCATGATACCATATCAAAGTGAAAGAATGGTTTAGAATGCAAGGACACAAGGATATATAGCCTAGGGTGTTGTACTCTCTATGGTCTGACCCTATGTAGTCTACAAAACAGCATATATGTTTGACATAGTTCACCTATTTATGTGAAGAACTAAACGTCCAAGGAGCGGTGAAACCACCAATTATTAACTTCACATATTTCATCCACAAATTCGATGGATTGAAGGGGGATCAAAGGCATGTCTTTTTGTGCATTGTGGTATTTGTTTCCATGTATAAGAACACGGGTCGTGTAAGGAAATTCCCTTTTCCTTACTGGGCTCGACTACAGCGCGTACGCCCTCGACTCTCGGAAGTCCAGGCTCGGCCAACTTCTTCGGTCCTGAACCATTTCGAGAACCCAAACCTAGACGCGCAGAGCTTCCGTGGCTTTCGTCAACCGAACCGTCCCAACCCGTTCGCGTGGTTCTCGGCTAGCTCTGTTCGTGCCTATAAATGCCTAGGCCCTCATTTGTATTGACACTCTTGAATCACGACTCCTTTATTAGACTATCTATTATTACTCTGATTAATTCATAACAGCTGTTATCAGAGCTCCATTCCTGCCCGCTTAGTCTTCCGTAGAGTAGTGCATTTATATCGGGAGAGGACCTGGCAGAAAAGCGGATTGGCGTGCGGTTGGTAGGTGAGCTCGTTGAAGCTCCTCCAACCAGAAGTGTGTGCACCCTCAGATCTGTCACGTAAATTTTCTAGGATGTATATCACGCCGGAAACCTCTGCCCGTCATAGTGTTAGGAACGTGACTCAGGAGGAGTTTGACGATTTGCAAGCCATGGCGGCTACAGTGAAGACACTACAGGCCCAGCTTCAACCACTCACCGATAAGTTCGAGTCGCTGGGGAGTGAAGTGCAGACGCTGCGCAACGAAAACTCGTCGCTTCGCCAGACGCGGAGTGAAACGTGTCAGGAGCAACCTGTTACCCGATAGGAAGATGCTGCAAGCGAAGCAAGGGCGTCGGCGACACCTGAAGCAGTTGAAGTAGTCCACAGCGAACTGCGGGGGGCCATTAAAATCAAACCTCCGATGCCACCACCGTTCAACCTGACCGACAGGACAACTACAGTGAGCGGGTGGCTGTTCGCCATGGAAATCTTCTTCACGGCGGCAAGTATTAATGACAACGCATCACGTGTCAACTTGGTTGTGTCGCTGCTGAGGGGACCGGCACTCGACTGGTAGCGCATGCATCTTGATGAGAGAGGAGCCCCGGCAGGGAATCAACGGCGAAGGCAGAACCGATCTTTGGGTCGGCCATGAACCGCACGTGGAAAGCGTGGGGCAAAGCATTGAAGGGCTGATTCGAGCACATATCCATGCGCGAAAATGCTCGCATAAGGCTTCGGATGTGGAGACAGTTGGGATCTGTCCAAGAATACACGGCGTCATTTCTGGCAATCTGCGACCAAATCGGAGGGCTTAGCGAAGACGAGCGCATCGATCGCTACATAGGTGGTCTCAAGCCGGAGATTCAGCAAGAGATCGTCCTGCGAGCCCCGGCGACATTCAACGAAATAGTTCGCATAGAAGACGCAGTGGACGCACGACGTGGACTCGCGAAAGTGGGTTTCAGGAAGGGAAATTGCTTTCGAGGCCTGCCCCAACACACATCAATTAACAGCGTGAACGTGTTTGCAGCCCGAGCATTTTCGGGAACCTGATTCCACTGCAACTACCCGAGTCACATCGTAAGGGACTGCCCGCAACTGAAGAAGAACTTAGCTAACGACAAGAAGCAGTCGGGAAATGGAGATTGTCAGTAGTAGATGGGCCACCTACTGACTTGGCTGCGTCGCCCGAACGCCACCACCCCCACTAGGTTATAGTGCCGATTTGGGCTATCGACCATTCCTAGCTGAATAAGGGGGGTGAACCGGTTGATCGCCCTGTGCTGGTTGAAGGAAGAGTTGGCGACACCCACATCAAAATAATCGTTGATGGTGGGGCAAGCCACAGTTTGATGGACGTGACGAAGGCGAAAAAAATGTGATTGCTGCTGGAGTGCTGCATGCCTGAAATCGACGCGAGATTGGTTGACGGCACACCACTTGCAATTTGGGAGTGGGTACCTCTTGTGCGAGTAACATGCGGCGAAAATTTCAGTTTCACGACGAAGATGCTGGCGACAACTTGGGACGGCTGCGACATGCTGCTGGGACGCGATTGGCTGCGAGAATACAACCCGAGCATTGAATGGCGGACGGGCGATTGTCGCATCAAATGGAGTGGCGAGTGGCAACGACTACCCAAGTGGAGCTATCAAGATTCAACCACATCGACGGTCAGTGCAGTGACGATCAAGCGAGCCATGATTAGAGGGGCGCAACTTGTTGCCGTCTGATGGATCGTATCCACGGCTGTCGACACGCTGACCGACATCGACAAACTCTGCGCAGCTGTCCCGGATGACTTGGCGATGGTGATTCGAAAACACGCGGGCATTTTTCCAGGCGACCTACCGGCGGGTTTGCCACCTGAGCGAAAACATGACCACAAAATCGAACTGGAGCCCGGCGCGCAGCCTACTGTTCGGACCCAATGGCAGCTGACTCAGCCCGAGGTGGATGAACTTCGACGCCAGCTGGACTACCTACTCGAGAAAGGTTTCGTTCGCCCCAGCACCTCACCGTTTGCAGCTCCAATATTGTTCACCCCGAAGAAAGATGGCGGTCTACGAATGTCTATTAACTACCGCGCCTTGAACCGGGTTACCATCAAGTCCCGCTATCCTGTCCCGCGTGCCGACGAACTCATCGACCAACTTCGCGGAGCCAAATTCTTCTCGAAAATTGACCTGCGAAGCGATTACCACCAAATCCGCGTCCACGAAGCCGGCTGATACAAGACGGCGTTTCGGACCCGGTACAGGAGTTATGAGTACACGGTTGTGCCTTTTGGCTTAACAAACGCGCCTTCGACGTTCCAGTTAACCATGAACGAGGCTTTTCGGCCACTGCTGGATAAATGCGTGATCGTGTACCTCGACGACAGACTGGTCTACAGCACTACCCGGGAGCAGCATTTGAAGGATTTGACAGCCGTTTTCTCTCTCCTCCAGTAGCACCGAGTCATCACCAAGGGCTCTAAGTGCGAGTTTCTCAAACACGAACTGGAGTTTTTGGGCTATGTAATTTCCATCGAGGGTGTTAAAATCGATCCCAAGAAGATTGCGACCATCCAGGACTGGAAGCCGCCGGCTATTCTCCGCGAACTTCAAAGTTTGTTTATGTTTGTTAATTATGTCCGCCTTTTCATTCCGAACATGGCGGGGGTAACTTCCCCTCTCACGGATCTCATGAAGAAGGGGAAGTTTTATGAGTGGGGGTGAGAGCAGCAGGCTGCGTTCGAATAGCTCAAACTTTTCCTGACTACACCTCCGGCTCTTCGGATTGCAGATCCTCACCGTCCGTTCGAGCTCATCACCAACGCTAGCGATCTGGCCGTTGGCGCAGTACTATTACAAGACTTCGGCGAAGGCCTCCAACCCATTGCCTACGAGACACGAAAGCTTAACCCGGCCGAGCGAAATTATCCTGTCCACGACAAGTAGTTACTCGCCATCGTTCACGCTTTCAAAGTCTGGCGCTGCTACCTAACGGGCGCTGACGTAACAGTCCGAACAGTCCACAAGTGACTACAGCTCATTCGTGCCCAACCGACACGGAATCCCCGATAGATTCGCTGGCTTGACTACCTGAGTCCAACTTCCACTACAGAGTCATCTACAAACGGAAGGTTAGCAACATCGCTGATGCGCTGACCCGCCCTTCAGTCCACACCGCCGCCCTCCTAATTACCCAAGCTAATCCGCTGCTAAATAGCCTATTCACCCACGGATACAGTACTGACCCATTCTTCACCACTAACAGTCATCCCCAACTGACGGTCAAGCAAGAGGCCTATTACCTAAAATCCGGTACCAATCGGATTTGGGTTCTCGCCTACCGTACCCTATGGAATTACTGATCCAGGAGGCACATGACTTGAATTTCTCGGGTCATTACGGCATCGAGAAAACCGCCAAATTACTGAGCCGTAATTATTACTGGCCCAATTGGCCAACAGACGTGCAGTAGTACGTCACCTCCTGCGCCACGTGTCAACGTATGAAGTCCTCATGGCTTCGACTTGCTGGATTGCTGCAGCCACTCGAGCCATACAACCGACCCTGGCAACAAGTGACGATGGATTTCGTCACTGGCCTGCCAGCTGGTCCAAGCGGTAACGACGCAATTCTCGTCGTCGTTGACCGGTTGACCAAGATGGCCCACTTTGCTGCCGGCAAGACGACGATTACTGCCGAGCAGACAGCGAAGCTATTCCTCACGAACATCGTGCGGCTACACGGCATCCCTTCGGCAATCATCAGCGATCGTGACCCGCGGTTCACGTCCAACTTCTGGACAAACACCTGGCAGCAGTACGACACACATCTGCATCTGTCCACGGTGTACCACCCGCAATCAAACGGCCAGACTGAGCGCACCAATCAGACGATGGAGCAGCTGATTAGCACAACGTGCACAGACCCGGCCCAATGGGAAGACGCTCTTCCCTTGATCGAATTTGCGTACAACAATGCCCCATCGGCCACGACTACTCAGTTCCCGTTCTTGCTTAATTGCGGGATAGATCCGACAACACTTCTATCACCCCCGATAGAAAACCCAACACCAAGATCTTAGCAGTTCGTCGAAAACCTTGGACAGTCTTAGCAAAGAGCCGCAGATGCTATCCTCAAAGCCTATCAGAGGGCTAAGCAGCAAGCTGACCGACGACGCCGAGACTTAATGCTCGCCCCTGGGCAATGGGTCCTGCTCGACACCAGAAATTTGGGAATTCCTCTCCCAAATAAATTACGACCAATATTACAGCGCGTACGCTCTCGACTCTCGGAAGTCCAGGCTCGGCCAACTTCTTCAGTCCCGAACCATTTCGCGAAACGAAACCTAGACGCGCAGCGCTTCCGTGGCTTTCGTCAACCGGACCGTCCCAACCTGTTCGCGTGGTTCTCGGCTAGCTCTGTTCGTGCCTATAAATGCATAGGCCCTCATTTGTATCGACTCCTTTATTGCACTGCCTGTTATTACTCTGATTAATTCATATCAGGTCCAGCAAGTCAGTATCCGCGTTTGGGGCAGTCAACGAAGTCCTCGACACAGGCTTCGCTGGCGAATCCTTCGCGCCAGAATCACCGAATCGGTCGATGATTGGCTACGAGAATATCTCCAAAAGGAGCGGCTATTGGTTCAAGTCTCCCGAAATCTTGGTACCACCTGAAAACGAGCTAGGCTGGCCAGGCCAGGCCACTGCTTCCTATTCCCAGCCATGGAATCCCTTCATGGCCGAAATCAGCCTACCGCAGAGAAAACAGCGGACGCGGCGAGACTACATCTGTCGTAGGGAGCTCGCGCCGGGGGTTACGGAGACCGTTTGTGATGCTTGAAGCCCCTTCGTTACCCCCGGGAGTCGCATCCGATGCTCAACTTGAGGATCTCACGCTGCGACTTGAAGGCGGACGCGTATTGAAGTTCTCATGCAACGGATTCCGGTGTTTAGGGTTGCGGCGGCCTGGTAGCTTTGACGCCTACTCGCACGAAGAAAAACGCACTAGGGAAGACGCCGAAGGCAACCGACGAGAGTCGTCATTTTCGCCGCGGCTGTATCACCTGCTTGGGTCGAACTTAGTCGCTTGGTTTTGAGGCGCCTCAAATCTAGACTCCTCTCACGAACAACGCAGAGAGTCGTCGTTTTCGCCGCCGCGGCGGCTGTATCATCTGCCTGGGTTGAACTTCAACTTAGTCGCTTGGAGGCCCGGCCTCCGAATCTGACACCTCGCTTGGGGCCTTAATACACCGCTGAGTAAACTTAGCCATTTCGAGGGCCGACCTCCGAATCTGACGCCTCGCTTGGGGCCTTAATACGGGTAAACTTAGTCATTTCGAGGGCCGGCCTCCGAATCTCGGGGCCTCAATACTCCGCTTTTCCCGTGATGGTGTCAGCTCGCGATTGGACGACGCCGGTGACTCGGGGAGTGCTTCTGTGTGGTATCATGCTGCTGACGTCATGGGGAGGGCTGACCGCTCCCGTGCAGGGACAGACGATTGACAAGAGCCAGTGTGAGTATAACGAGTTTGACAGTAGCCGATATGGGTGTAACGGGCGATCCGTGCACCCAACTTGGCGAATAACCTTTGCAGAGTTCCGACCCACCCCATGTGTGCCCCGACCCCCTGTGTGCTCTACCTTTCTACACCTGCAACATCCCCCTCCCCCTCCCCCTCTTTTACCCACACAAACTCCCCACTACCCCTCCGCACCCCCCCTCTCCCCCCTTCGCCCCCCCTCTCCCCCCCTCTCCCCCCCTCTCCCCCCCTCTCCCCCCCTCTCCCCCCCTCTCCCCCTCTCTCCCCCTCTCCCCCTCCTTCCTCCTAACCATCCCTTCATGATCCCCGCCTGCCCCATGTCATGCTGACGTCAGTGCAAGCACTGTGGGACATGCAGACGTCATGGGGACAGACTTTCGACCAATGGGACACCGACGGTGACTGCAGCGTCGCATACAACATATCTTGCAACGCAAAGGGCATGGTGACGTGGATGTACGTGCTGGTGACGTGGCGAGCTGTGATCCACGTGGCATGAGACGAGGAGATTGTGGTTTCATGGTGGTGGGTGGGAGCCTGAGAGGTGGTTGTGGGAGGTATTGGATGAGGTGGCACGGTGTGCAGTATATTTCTGAGGCGCCTCAAAAATAGATATCACGTGGCATGGCATGTGTTGGATTGGATGGGTGTCAGCCAGTAACTGGTACACTATCTTGTGTGTTTGCTGCAGTCTCAGTGCATTTTCTGGCTTCTTGCTTGCTTGCATGCATGCATGCCTGGATGCGTAATGCACGCACGTACGCAATCACAGCATCCTCTCCTCATAATCCCCCTTCCTCGAACCACGAACCACCTCACCAACGCCTCACATGTCCACCTGCCCTCACCTGCCCTAACCTGCCCTAACCTGCCCTCACCTGCCCTAACCTGCCCTAACCTGCCCTCACCTGCCCTAACCTGCCCTAACCTGCCCTCACCTGCCCTAACCTGCCCTAACCTGCCCTCACCTGCCCTAACCTGCCCTAACCTGCCCTAACCTGCCCAAACCTGCCCTCACCTGCCCTCACCTGCCCTAACCTGCCCTCACCTGCCCCTCACCTGCCACCACTGCTGCAGCGAGCTCACGGGGCTGAATCTGGGAGGGCCTCTCCCCACCACCATCGGTGACTTGGTGAATCTCTCGCACCTGTGAGTGCTGCTACTGCTGCTGCTGTTTCTCTCTTGCAACTGTGAGTGCAAATCATTGGATGCGGTAAAATGACCGGCTCCATCCCATCCACCATCAGCCTTCCCTCATGTCCGCCTCTTCCCGCGGCTGCCTCACTCCTCTCTCCTTCCCTCATCCCTCCTCCCATGCTGCGTGCTGGTTGCTTGGTGGCGGCAGGACGTGGGTTGCGAGCGGAATTACCGGCTCCATCCCATCCACCATCAACCTACCCCTATTTCCTCCACTGCTTCAGGCCTGCCTCATTCAAGATCCCCGCCCTGCCCCCCCCCTGCCCCTCTCCCACCCCCCCTTGTGCGTGCTGGTTGCTGGCTGGCGGCAGGACGTTGGATGCGAATGGCATCACGGGCTCCATCCCATCCACCATCGGCCGACTCACTGCCCTCACCTGGTTGTGAGTGCTTCTAACGAGTTGTGTGCATGATGGGTGCTTCTAACGAGTTGTGTGCAAGAAGCGTACTATTAACAACTTGTGAGCGTAATGGGTGCCAGCCACTAACAAGGTGCCGGAAGGGTAGTCTCCAGCCCATCCACCAGTGCGGTGCGGATGCTTTTGAATCGACTCAAAAGGAGTCGCCCATCCTCCACCAATGCCGATCAAATGCTGCTATTAAGATCGCCCCACGCATTGCTCTCACCTGCTATCCTTGTGTAATGAGTCGATTTTTGAGTCGACTCAAAAATCGACTCATTACACACTCAAAAGTCGACTCATTACACACTCAAAAATCGACTCATTACACACTAAAAAATCGACTCATTACACACTCAAAAATCGACTCATTACACACTGCTATTAACATCGCCCCACGCATTGCTCTCACCTGCTATCCTCCTCCCCCCCTCTCAGCTCCATGGTTCGCAACAGCCTCACTGGCAGCTTCCCCAAGACGTTCACGAGCCTGGTCAACTTGAAGGACGTGTGAGTCAACTTGAAGGAGGTGTGAGTCAAGTTGAAGGACGTGTGAGTCAGACTTTCCTGTTTTTAGGCGCCTTTTGAGTTGACTGAAAATACCTTTGAGTCGGCTCGAAAGAATGTCTTGTGGCTCGACTCGACAGCCATCTCGCAACGGCCTCATTGGTAGCTTCCCCAGAGATTTCACCAACCTGGTCAACCTGAGACACGTGTGAGTCAACCTGAGACACGTGTGAGTCAACCTGAGACACGTGTGAGTCAACCTGAGACACGTGTGAGTCAACCTGAGACACGTGTGAGTCAACCTGAGACACGTGTGAGTCAACCTGAGACACGTGTGAGTCAACCTGAGACACGTGTGAGTCAACCTGAGACACGTGTGAGTCAACCTGAGACACGTGTGAGTCAACCTGAGACACGTGTGAGTCAACCTGAGACACGTGTGAGTCAACCTGAGACACGTGTGAGTCAACCTGAGACACGTGTGAGTCAACCATTCCTGTCTTGAGGCGCCTCAAAACAAAACATGTCCCAGGACCAATCAGCGTCGTGCATACTCCAAGAGTCCACGCATGTCTCTCTCCCCTTCGCTCCCAGCTCTATTTATCGCAACCAGCTCAGTGGGCCGCTTCCCGATTCAGTGTCCTCCTTTCTGTTCTCCCTCCCCCCCCCCGCCCCCTCCCCGCTCCATCCCTTCTCTGTCTCGCCTTCTCCGCACATCTCTCCCTCTCCCTCCCCCTCCACTCCCAGCTCTATTTATCTCAACCAGCTCAGCGGGCCGCTTCCTGATTTCAGTGTCCTCCCCAACTTGGTCCAATGGTGCAAAAACCCTTTTCTGTCCCAGCTAGCACCCAACTTTGTGAAAGCCCTCCTACTGACCTGATGTGTTACTGTCCACTGTGTTGTTCAGTCGACTCGACTCAAAAGCACGCTCTCCTACTGAGCTGATGTGTTATTATCCAATCTGCTCAGCCTCTAATTTTATGTGCTTTATGAGGCGCCTCAAAAAGTGTTGTTGTCCGATCTGACCAGCCTCTTATTCGATGTGCTTTATGAGGCGCCTCAGAAAGTGTTGTTGTCCGATCTGCTCAGCCTCTAATTTGATGTGCTGCAATAGTACAAGACTTTGCAGGCTATTCTCGAGAGAAAACAGAGTAACCCGTTGAGAAAAGCCCTGCGTACGTATTTGTTCAACGCTCATCTGTCCACATGTGCTGGTAACCACTGGTGTGCTTATGGCAGGGGGTCGTCGGGCAACAATCTCACAGGGCCGCTTCCTGCTCGCATTGGCAACTGCAAACACATGAAGGCGATGTGAGCTGAACACTCCACATGACTGCTATCATTCGTATGATTCATATGATTCATATGGTTGATATGATTCACTGGTCAGGTCAAGTATGTACCACCGTTTTTTTTTTTTTTTTTTTGAGTTCACCATTCGGCCACGTGAGTTTGCCATGTGGTCATATGGGTTAGGCATATGGTCGCGTGAGCTAGTTAGCAATATGGTGGTGTGAGATAGCCGTACGGTGGTGGAGTACAGTGGCGTGAGTTGGCCAGGCAACCACTCAGCTTATCCGCCTCCCACAACCCCCCCACACACACCCTTGTTTCCCGCAGCTACCTGCAAGAGAATCGCTTGGCGGGCGTCATTCCAGACTCTATCTCGAGCCTAGTGGAGCTCACCCACCTGTAAGCATGCACGGGCCCAACCAACCAAGTGTCAGAGTAAAGGAGGCAATAAGCACACATGTGGAGCCTAGGGTCAGAGTCTAGGGTCATAGCCTAGGGTCATAGTCTAGGTTCACACACCTGTGAAGGGCCTAGGGTCGTCGTAGTTCAGGCGCACCTGAGGAGCTTTGCAACAGGTGGCATGCATGCAACGAACATGCCCTCTTAGTAGGGTTCACTTGCTCTCTGCCTCACTCTGCCACACTCCACCATACTCCTCCCTCTAGGTGATTTCTTGAGAATTCAGAAACATTATGTAGCGCTCGCTTGCTCTCCGCCACACTCCTCCACACTCCGCCACACTATTCCACTCTCCGCCACACTGCTCCCTCTCCCTCATCTCCTCCTCCACACCCATTCCAGTGATCTTTCCTACAACAGCCTCTCTGGCACCCTGCCTTCCAACATCGGCAGTCTGCAATGGCTTGAAACCCTGTCAGTCAACGGTTGCTTACCTGTCAGTTAAACGTTTGCTTACCAGTCAGTCAGCACCTACCGGTCAGTCAATGCTTACATCTCTGTCAGTCAACGC